ATGAATGGGCTCAGCTCTGGCCACTGCGGCCATTTGGAAAGTGAACCAGAGGATGGACTATCTGTCTCTCTCTCTCTGCAGAAATGCCTTTTCAGAAACAATACAGTCTACAAAAAGAAGAAGAAGAGGTAGAGAAGATGTGTGATTCTTTCCGTGAGGATGATTTGAAAGTCATCCAAGTGCTGTGTCCCTTTGCTGTACAGATATTTGTGCTGTCCTTTTACCTGCCGGTGGACAGCTGGGTTGTCCACCATTACAGTGTTATCAAAAAATCTTTCTCTTCTTTATCTTTTAGAATTATTTATTTGAAAGGCACAGTGACACAGAGAGGGTGCTTCCATCTGCTCCCCAAATGGCTCCAGCAGCCAGGGCTGGCCAGGCAAAAACCAAGAGTCCAGAACTCTATCTGGGTCTTCTTCATGAACGGTCCAAGCACTTGACCATCATGTGCTGCTTTCTCAGGTGCATTAGCAGGAAACTAGATGGAAAGCAAAGCAACTGGGACACAAAGCAGCACTTTGATATTGGGATTCTAGCACTGCAGGCAGTGCTTAATCCACTATGCCACAAAGTTGGCCCCATGCTCTGAATATTTTTACATGGACATCTGCATCCATTTCTCTTCAGTGAGCACAAAGCAGCAGCATGACTGACTGGGTAGAATGACAGATGTATGTTCAGCTTCATTCATGGCTTGTTTGTTTATTCATCAATTGACCTCTGAGAGGCAAAGACATATCACTCATAAGCATGACCTCAGCTCACTCAGCAGCACCCGGAGTTGGCTCAGGCTGAAGCCAGGAGCCAAGAACCCAGTTTTGGTTAACCACTTATGTGACAGGGACCCAGTTACTTGAAGCGTCATCTGCTGCCTCCCGGGGCATGCATCAGCAGGAAGCCGGAAGTGGAAATGAGCTGGGACTTGAACTCATGTTCTGCAATAAGGGATCAGCCATTTTACCTTCTGTGCCCAATGCCCACCCAGGAATTGCTTTCTTCTTGTGCTTTCCTAAGGACTAATAGTAAACACACTTCCATGTGTGCAACTGCCAATGCTCCATCGTCTTTCGAGTAGAGTGCTGAATTGGGAATATTCTTGAGTTCTCAAGGTGAATGTTCTTGAGAACGTTCCTTTATACATTCTGGAATTTGATAAAGAATCTTTATCAAGTGTGATTGACAAATATTTCTCCTGATTTGTGGCTGTCCAAGTCCTTTCCTTAAAAATGTTTAAAGTCTAGAAGTTTTTGAAGAAAAAAAATCCAGTTTACCATTTGCATTGCAGCTGGCAGCTTAACCCACTACAGCACAACACCTGCCCCTCTTGTGAGTTTTTCAAAACGTATAGGTGGATGTCTGAATATCAAGGGTTGCCTTTGTGTGTATGCGCCTATCTAACTAGTATAGCACAGCTCATTGAAAACACTACCTTTACTGAAATATTTCGGCACCCTGTCGAGGACCAGTGTACATACTGTATGTGCAGTGTTTCGTTCATGGGTTCTCTGCTTCATTGAACTATATGTCTATTTTTACATCAATGCTATGCATCTGATTACAGGGGCTTTATATGTTTTGAGATCCTTATGTTTCCTGTCTAGTTACTCTGATCAAAACATTTCCATATCATTTTACAATCAGCTTGTCAAATTCCACAAAAACTTCAGATAGGATTTTGTGTTGAATTTGTCAACTTGGGAGGACTGAGGGAGAGTGTTCAGTGTAACTGCTTGGGATTCCGGCAGCCCGTATTGGAGGGTCTGAGTTCAAGTCCTGCTTCCATTTCCAATGTCAGCTTCATGCTAATGTACTCCCTGGGCGGCGACACATCCTGCCACAGGAGACCCTCATGAAGTTCTTGGCCCCAAGCTTCAGGTGGGTGCAATCCAAGGCATTTGCAGAGTGAACCAACAGTAGGGAGATCTTTTCCTACCTTCCAAAAAAATTTTTTTTAAAACTTTGAGGGCTGACATTCTAATTTTATCAAAGCATAAGCATGGTATAACCCTCACTTAAATTTCCTTTCCCTGCAAACATCCTTTATACTTTGGTGTAGAGCTCTTATACATGCTTAATTGGATTGATTTCTAGGAATCTGATATTTTTATGTTGCTGCAAATGACATCTTTTAAATGTTCTATGTTGCCTGTATGTAAACCTTGCAAAATTCACTTAATTCAAATAGTGATTTCTAAATAGTTTACATTTTTCTATGTGCATAATTATATCATCTATAACCAATAAGTTTTCTCTCTTTTCTGGTCCTTATATATATTTTTTAATTTTTTCCTTGTATTCCTGATTTTAAAAAAAACCAGTGAGATGTGTGGGCACTGGAATGCAGTTTATTGTTTTTACCAGGGACACCTGCCTCCCCACATGAGGGTGTTGGTTCAAGTCCCCCCTGAGTCTGTCCTCTTATAAAGCTTCGTGCTAACGTGCCTGGGACACAGTAGATAATGGCCCAACTACATGGATTCCTGCAGCCACATTGGAGTCCTCAGTGGAGTTTCTGTCTCCCATTTTTGGCCTGATGCAGTCCTGGTGGTCATGGGCATTTGGAGAGTGAATCTCTGTTACTGTGCCTTTCAATTAAACGAATCTTAAAAAATGAAAATATATTAAAAAAAAGCGAGAACACATCTCTCATTACTTATGCAAGAGGGAAAGCAAGAAGACAGAATGGCTCAACAGGCAGGCTAATCCTCCACCTTCAAGTGCTAGATCCTATATGGTCCTCAATTCATGTCCTGGCTACTCCACTTGCTATCCAGCTCTCTGCTTATGGACTGGGAGAGCAGTGGAGGATGGAACAAGTCCTTGGGACCCTGCAACCACATGAGACCTGGAAGAAGCTCTTGGCTCCTGGCTTTGAACTGGTTCAGCTCTGGCCACTGTGACCACTTAGGAAGTGAACCGGCAGATCGAAGACCTTTCTGTCTCTCCTTTTCTCTTTCAATGTGCCTTTCTAATAAGGACAAATAAATCTTTAAAAGAAGAAAACAACCCAGAAGGCAGACTAGTGTTCCCCAAAGGCATCCAGGTCAAGGGAGTTAAGGTTAAAGATAGAATTCAGCTTGCCCAACAGCAGACATTGAGCTACATCTTGGATAATCTGCACGGACCCAATGTACCCACTAGAGTCCTAAACGTCAGTGGGAGAGTGAGGCAGATGTCAGCATCAAAGCAAGTAGCACGGGCAGAAAAGGACGCCACTCACTGCTGCTGGCTTTGCAGGCAGCAACAGTGAGTGGCCTCAAGAAGCTGGCAGAAGAGGACTGCAACCTGTGGCTTCCAGAGGGGCTCGCATCCCCACTAAGAACGGAGTTCAGCTCCATTGAGAACTGTGTCAAGAATCCCAACATTTGGGTTGGTCTACACCAGCAAGTATTTGGTAACTTACCATAGCAGTGATAGAAAATGTGTGCTGAAACCTTAGATTTCTTAACACCCAGTGTGATGTTTTTACTGTCAGATTTTTGTGAATATGTTTGCTGTCTGCTTGCTCTTGGGTTCCTTCTAGTTTATTCTGGAAACATGTGTTCAATTCTGCTATTCCTTCTGAGCTCTGTCAGCTCTCATTTTATTTCCTTCTGTTTCTTGCCCATCTTTTTTTACAGCTTTCTTAAGCTTCTTCAGCATGTTTGAAAACATGGATGACTCTTCCTCCGCTTCATAGCTGCTCCTGGGATATCTTCACCTTCTGTGGGTAAGCTATGCAGGCTATAATCTTATTACACCATATGGCTAGATGTACTCATGTTTGAATAAGATGGGTTTTCTTTTCTTTTTCCTCCAATAGTTTTATCAAAGGTTGCTGTGTAGGAGGTGAGGTGGGCCAGGATCATGCTTCTAGCTTCATGGATCTAGAGTTCTCTCTTGTGGTCACTGCAAAGCATTGTCACATGATTTGTGTGTTACGTTCCCTTTAGTACTTCTCAAATAATCCCATCTGTTCCCTTCTTCTATCCACATCTGAATGCCCTCTCTTCTATCCCAAGTCCTTCCCCTGTTGGTGTGCCACCTATTTCAGGGGGTGACCCAAAGTATGGGCCATGTGTGTGCTCACTGGTGACTGCCAGCACCCTCAGACCTTTCTGACATCCTGCCACTCGCTTGCCAACTGAATGCTGATTAGCCCTCTCAGCTCTGACTCTGGTTTCTGGGTTTATGGTGACTCCTGACATGACATCAGCTTGGGGCTGATTACATGGTGCCAAATTCTTGTTTTGTCGATCGGGAGACCATCCCACCTCCCTTGTCTTGTCTCTGCTCACTCCTCCAGAGTTGCTGCCCCCTCAAGCTGCCGTGCCTAGGTGTTAGCAGTTACTCTCCATGGTTTTAACCTGAATTACTCATATTCCAAGATTCACAAAGAAAGTCACTGGGTTTCAGTCAAGATGGTGTCACTGTATCGCTCTGTCATCCTTGTTGCTCAGTGAGGACTTGGGGAGATTTTATCAACGCCTCAAATGCTGCTGCCATCTTGCCTCCTATTACTAGTTTTTGATTTCTATTATAATTTATATTTGTCTACTTACATTAAAATGCCCAGAAAAGGATAGACAATGCCACAGTAACAACAAAACTCAAAACTCTAGTGCCTGACAGGAAGCACCTCTGTCTCACCACATCCCAATCCAATGTGGTCAGGAGCCTCTCCTGGCAGCTTTCTCCAGTGGCCAGCTCACTGCTTGGCAGCTTCCGTTTGGGAAAGTCTTTGTTTAAACTCAAATGGCAAGTCAAGAGAACTGTGAATTGTGGCGGTGAGTTTTACTGTGAAGCCCGGAAGTCACATTTACAATTTGCTGGTTAGTCACAGGGCCCCTGTGTCCTGTGAGGGCGGCGTGGGAGGGTGGGAGCCCACGAGGGCTGCCATGCTGGGTGGGGCTGCCTGTGCAGCGCGGAGAAGGCAGGCAGCCTCTGAAACCTCAGCCACTGCCTTGTCTCTTCGCGGATCTGCAGAAGGATGCAAGACACAATGTGATTCAAGAACATTCACCAGCAGTTTGAGTAAGGTTTTAATGTCAGCATAGAACCTTACATTGAAATGTTTTTTTCGTCTGTTTTATATGTGAATTAAATTATTTTCAAGTCTGCAAAAAACCCACAATCTTCAATTTCCAATAAATTTTGGAGAAGGCAGCACATACTTACATAAAGTCAAAATGTTTTGATAAGAAAAGTTCCAGTTTCAATGTTTTCTCTTGGAATTATAAAGAACCACACTATACTACTAAGTAATAAAAGAATGGTCTGGCACCATTTACAAATGTCTATGTGTTCACAAACATCCTAAATATTTCATATACATACATCCAGGAGAAATCTAGCTTTCATACAATCTTTTTTATTGCCCTTAGTCTACTATGTTTATTAATATAAATATACTCATTAAAAAATACAATATTTAAATGAGAATTATGCTCATGAAACTTTATAAAATACAGCTAACATATTTTGACTTGTGATAAATAATTCAACTTTACTGCATTCTCAGACATGTAAAAATATTTTCAAACTATTTTAATTTTAGGGTATGCAACAGTAGTGATTTACTAAGCTCCCCATTATAATAATTAATACAGCACTCTTAAAATACTGTAAGAACTATTTTAAGAAAGTTACACCCACAGCACAGTGAAAGGCTTCCTTTCTTTCAGAACACATCTTCAAAAGGCACATTTTGACTACTACATATTTTAATTAGCAGTATTTATTTTAAAAATAGTACCCATAGTCTGAGTTTTCGGATTCCAGTTAAGTTTCCGTTATCTCCCAGTTGAGCTAAGGGAGCACTGGAGAGGTAGGAGAACGCAGGTTCCCCAAGGACCCCGCAGGGCAGCAGTGTTCTCATTCATGCCCTCTGCAGAGACCAAGAGAGAGCAAGACAGGACTGCACACCTGTCTTCATTCTAATGCAGCCATCAGCAAACACTTTTTACACAAAAATAATCCATTATAAAAATCACAAGAGAGTAAAAGCTTAGCACACAAGAGGCCCAACCCCCAGGGCATCCAGTGTAGTCTATTGGGCAGGGGATGATCCTGGCTCCAAGGCTGCAAAGACAAGGAAGCACCTGCTTCTCGGGCCGACTGGACTAGGCCCTCGCTGAGTGGCACTGGGCCCTTGTCAGGTGATACCAGGCCCTTGCTGTGCAGCACTGGGCCCTTGTCAGTTGCTACCAGGCCCTCGCCAAGTGGCGCCTGACCCTTGTTGAACAAGCAGGCTCCGAGTGCCAGGAATGTCAGCCATTCTCATACTCTAAGCAGCCCATTAACTCAGAACCAATCCTAAGTCACTTCCTGGTTATTTCTGTCATGTTCCCCTTGCATTTAGGCTGATAATCTGAAACTGACTAGAATGATAAAAAAAATCTGTTCAGTTCAAATTCTACCATTATTTTAAGAATTTATAACTTAGGGTCCTAAAATATAGTGTGATATATACTGTTGAATAGATTTTATGTTTCAGTGAGGTCTAATACTAACTGAAATATTAAACTGAACAGATTCAGTACTCTGAAGTTCTAACTGATCAACTACTTGATCCCATGACAAAAACTAGAGAATTTCTAAAGATATTTTAGAAATTTCAAAGTATTAGGGATCTACCTTAATTTGATATTATTTCCCTCAAATCTCACTAGAGCAATTCAACTTTTTTAAAGGGACAGAATCTTCAGATTTTCTCCCCTCATTAGAGTAAAATTCACTAAAAACACTGTAAAGCTAAAAAAAATTCACTAGTTGCTTAACCAAGATATAAGATTTTGGTCCCTAATAATGGTCACTTAGGACTCTCTTGCAAGTTCTAAAATAGCAGCTTTAAAAATTAAGGCAATATTGTTATGTCCTTGTGTTGTTCTGAACTAGCTACTCTAGGGTTCCTACTAGTGGGGCAAACGCAGGCCCCTCCAAGGCCTTTTGTAAATAAGAGTGTGCAGTCTGCTCAGTGTATAAAAAGGATGTAAAAAGTCACTCAACTTAAGGCCAACAAACATATTTTTCCACCTGGAATCCCATACTCCAGCGTTTGTAAACCATGAAATTATCTTAATAACACATAAGACATACAATTTCTGCAAAAATATAATATGGGAGATATATCACTTTCCCCCTGAAATAGAAATGTAATATTTGGACAAAAAAGCTGTAAACTTTTGATTACATTCAAAATATAACATTTTAAGAGGCTTGATTATTTGAGGTTTTGGCAACCGGAGACCTTAATAATGGATTTACGTGACTGCAATGTTTTAACAACACGATGGTACCAGTTTGTTTCTGCTTCTCCTACATCTGCTACCAGGAGGAGAAAAACGGCTTCCTGCAGTGCACGGTCTGGGTGAAGGAGCTGCCGAGGTGGACGATGCGACCCTGGCTTCCCCCTGTGCTGCGTTCCACGATCACACAGGGCATCTGAACCAGCTGCACTGGGCTCTTCCCATCTTTCAACGCCTGAGTAAGATTTAAGATCTGTGGACAATTTACACGTTATAAGCAGCTCATTCATGGACATTACTTTAGCCATCCCTTCACCCCCGGCTCATCTCATCACCCCAGAGATCACGGTGAGGACTACCGACTGAGAATGTGTGTCTGGGGAGGCATGGGGCCTGGCACGTCACACCCGAGGGCCTGCGTGCGATGGCAACCTCCAGCTCCTGACTCAGCTTCCCACGAATGCTCACGCTGGAAGGCAGCAGTGAGGACGCAAGCAACCGTGCTCCTAACACCCAGGTGGACACGAGCCTTGAATTCCCGGTTCTCCGCCCAGAGCCACTGCAGTCATTTGGGAGAGAAATGGACTGGAGCTCTCGAACTTTAAATAAAAAATTTAAAACGTATATCAAATAAAAGTTAAAATATACATTGAAATGTACATAATTACAAACACACAAATACACTATCTCAGAATTAAATTCTTGACTACTGGTAACTAAGTAAAATATTTTAGAATGTCCCTCATCCAGGAGCAGTATGAAGACTGAGTAAGTGAAGAAATCTACATACTCAATTTGACAAAGAACCTTAAAAAGGGGGGGATGGCTGGAATAGTCTGGTCTTAACTAACACTTGTCTTATCCACTCATTCAGCAAATAAATTTATTGGATTCCTACAATGTGTTAGGCTCTGTTGATAGTGCTGAAGATATAAAAGTTAAAAAAAAAATTCTTGCATTCACAGAGCTTAATTTAAGAAGGAAGAAAAGTTTTAAAACTGAAAAAGTAAGTTACATCCTATATTAGGGAATAGAAGTGGGAAATAAAGAGCCACGTATTTGCTGCCTGCAAGAAAAACAGCTCTCTAACAAAAATACACAGACTGAAAAAAAAAAAGGATGAAAAAAGACATGCCACGCTAGTGGAAAGCAAAAACAAGCAGAAGCTGGCATCCTAACACCAGACACAACAGAGATGGACACACGAGCTGCTCGAGAGACAGAGGGCACTACAGAATCATGGAAGGAACCAAGAGGAACATGACCACACTCAGTGTCCACGCACCGGCATCAGGCCCGGGCCGCTCCCGACTCACGGCAGCGCACTGCAGGAAGCCTCAGGCCACAAGCGCAACAAAGGGGACTTCCATACTCCACTTTCCAACAGGCAGACCAACTGAAAATGCTTGTTTCTATCAAACTTTTAAACAACTCGACTCCAAATCGTCTCAAACTACTCAAAACAATTAAAAGGGAGGGAATCCTCCCAAAATCTTTCTGGGAGGTCAGCATTAGATTCATCCCAACCCAGCAAAAGATTCAACAAAGAAAGAGAACTACAGACCAATAGCCCTGATGAACACAGATGCAAAAACTTCAACCAACAGCAGCTAGCGGATTTCAGCAGTCCATCAGAACGATCACTCACTCAGTGGGATTCACTCCCGGTATGTGGGGGACAGTTCAATACATGCAAAACAACAAACGTGACATAGCACATTAATGACTGAAGAATAAAAATGATTATCTCAATAGGTTCAGAGGAAGCATTTTTATAAAACAGAACATCCTTGCATGATAAAAAAAAAAAAACCTTAAGCAAATGGGTATAGAAGGCACAGTTCTCAACTTAATTAAGGCAATAAATGATAAACCCATGGCTAGCAACATAATTTAAAAAAATTATTGGAAAGTCAGATATCCAGAGAGGAGAGATAGAAAGGAAGATCTTCGATCTACTGTTTCATTCCCCAAGTGGCTGCAACGGCTGGAGCTACGAAGATCTGAAGCCAGGAGATTCTTCCAGGTCTCCCACATGGGAGCAGTGCCCAAGGCCTTGGACCGTCCTCAACTGTTTTCCCAGGCCATAAGCAGGGAGCTGAATGGCAAGCAGGAGAGCCAGGATACGAACTGCTGCCCATATGGAATCCGTGCATGTGCAAGGTGAAGACTTCAGCCACTAGGCTACCGCACTGGGCCCAAACATAACTTTTTTTTTTTTTAAAGATTATTTTATTTTGAAAGGCAGAGTTACAGAGAGAAAAAAAGAGACGAAGAGTTATAGAGAGAGAGGGACAGAGAGCTTGCAACCACTGATTCATTTCCCAAAGGGCTGCAATGGCTGCGGGTTGGGCCAGGCAGAAGCCAGGACACAGTATCCAGGAGCTTCATCTAGGTCTCCCACATGGATGTTGGTGTCCAAGCACTTGGGCCATTTCTGTTTTTTTTCTTGGCAGTGGAGTACTTGGGACTCCAACAGGTATTCATATGGGATGTTGGTCCACAGGCAGAGGTTTAACACACTGCACCACAGCACCAGCTCTTCCAGCAGCTTATTGAATAGGGAAAAGTTGGAAGTATTTCCACTAAGATCTGGAACCAGACAAGGACATTTACTTTTATTTTGCTACTTAATATAGTTACAGAAATTTTAGAACCAGTAGGAAAGAGAAAGAAATCAGAGATACAAATACAAAATGAGGAAGTCAAATTACCCTTGTTTGCATTTGACATGGTCCTGTTTAGGGGAATCAAGACTCCGCTAAGACATTCTGAAACTTATAGTGGAGCTTATAAAGCCGCCACACATAAGGTCAACACATAAATCATCAGCTTTGGTATACACAAACAATGCCGTGGCTAAGCAAGAACTTGTGAGATGAGTACCATTCACAGCAGCTATAAAAAATTAAATGCTTTGGAATAAATTTAAACAAGGATATGAAAGATCTGTACAATGAAAATTATAAAACATTAAAGAAAGAAATGGAAGAAAACACATACTCAAAAGAAAAATCTTCCATGTTTGTGACTTTGAAGAATTGATACCAAAATGTCCACATTACCAAAAATAATTTACAGGCTCAATGTGATCCCAATCAAAATACTAAGTAGCTAAAGTCCTTGCCTTGAACGCACTGGGATTCCTATGTGCATGCCTGTTCTAATGCCAGCAGCCCCACTTCCCATCCAGCTCCCTGCTCATGGCCTGGGAAAGCAGTAAAGGACGGCCCAAAGCTTTGGGACCCTGTACCCATGTGGGAGACTGGAGGAGGCTCCTGGCTCCTTGCTTTGGATCAGTGCAGTTGCAACTATTGCAGCTACTTGGAGAATGAATCAGTGGACAGAAGATCTTCCTCTCTATCCCTCCTCTCCGCATATCCAACTTTCCAATATAAATAAACAAATCTCAAAAAAAATTAAAAAACACTAAAGACTTTTTTTTTCTAAGATCTAGATTTCAAAACAGAAAACAGGACAATTATCATCAGAACAGACTGGTACTGGCACAGAAACAGACATGTAGAGTTATGGGACAGAAGAGAAATTCCAGAAATTAATCAAATTAATCCATGCAGCTAGAATCAATTATTTTTTTACAGCAAGCTAAAATCAGTTGCTGGAAAAAAAGACAGCAACTCCAGCAAATGATGCTGGAAAATTGGACCTAGGAATGGAGAAGTATGAAACAGGACTCTTATTCCTGATACAAAATTTAGCTACAATGGATCAAGGATCTAAATTTAAGACCTGATGATGCCATCAAGTTATACGAGGAGAACTTCAGAGAAATACTGCAGAAGTACTGGCAAGCACTTTTTGGAAAAGATCCTAGAAGCAGAGACCATAAAAGCAAAACCAGACAAATGGGATTACATCAAGCTAACAAGCTTCTGTTGCTGCAAAGGAAATATCCTACAAAGTAAAGAGGCAACTGACGCAACAGGAGAAATTATTTACAAACTATGCAACTGATAAATGGTTAAATCCAGGATCTACAAAGAAAAAAAGAACCCTCAAGGACAATAGAACAACAAATTTAGTGTCACGAAAAAGCATTTTGCAAAGGATGAAATACAAATGGCCAGCAGACACACGAACAACACTCAGGATCACTTGGCATCAGGGAAATGCAAATAAAAACCACAGTGAGGTTTGACTTTACCCCACTTAGAATGGCTATCATCCAAAAATCCAAAAATTCAATGCTGATGAGGATATGGGTGGAAAGGTCTCCTAGTACACTGCGTAGGAATGTAAACCAGAATACCCATTATGGAAGACAGCACAGAGATTCCTTGAAAATCTGAAAACAGATCTACCGGTGGACTGCTTCAAAAAGCAAGACTTTTAAAAAAAAATGTTTTTAATGTTTATTGCAAAGTCAGATTTACAGAGAAAGAAAGAGAGACAGAGAGAAAGATGTTCCATCCACTGGTTCACTCCCCAAGTGGCCACAAGAGTCAGAATCTGGAGCTTCCTTGGGTCTTCCATGTGGGTGCAGGGTCCCAAGGCCTTAGGCTGTCATCTCCTGCTTCCCCAGGCCACAGACAAGGAGCTGGATGGAACGTGGAGCAGCCAGGACACAAACTGGTACTCAGCTGGGCTCATAGCAGATGCAAAGTGAGGATTTAGGTGCTAGGCTATCACACCGGGCCCAGAGAATAAGCTTTTAAAGGAAATGGTAGCTGTAGATGTTACATTTTGAGTTTCCTCAAAAATTCCCTTAAATTTTCTGGGGTGCTTGTAGTTGATTAATAAAAAAAATAGAACTGAGAAAGGGTGTTTGGTGTAGCAGCTGTCGTTTCTGCCTGCATCCTATCTCCAAAGTGCTGAGTCCTAGCTCTTCTTCCAATTACAACTTCCTGCTGACATGCACCATGGGAGACAGTTCAAAAGTTTCATCCCTGGGACAGCAAGACTGTTTTGCAGGCTCCTGGCTTTGCATGGGCCCAGCCCTGGGTGTTGCAGGCATCTGCTCAATGAGTCAGCACATGGAGCATCCCACTCTCTGTCTTGGATTCTGTTTCTCTGCCTTTAAAATAAAATAAATAATAAAAAATCTTAGAAAGTCTGCTTGATAATTATTGTTTGTGCTACAAAAATAAAATTATGTACCAGCATGGTTCAGGAATGAAATGTTATGGCCAGTTTCCTCTTTGGATTAAAAAAAAAAAAATCTATTCTAAAAATGTCAGTCTAAATATACCGATTTCAGTCAGTAACATTTAATGTTTTCCGGTCTCAAAAGAGCAATACTTGATTGTAGCAGAGAATATGGAAAACAGGTACAAAAAGATTAAGTTGGGCCCGGTGCACTAACCTAGTAGGGTTAAAAGATATTTTTTGCCTCTGTCCCTATCTCTGTTGCTCCTTTAAATAAATAAATCTTTAAAAATAATTAGAGGCCGGCATGGTGGCATATCAGGCTAATCCTCCCTTCACTTGTTGCACCACCATCCCATATGGGCACCAGTTAGTGTCCTGGCTGCTTCACTTCTGATCCAGCTCCCTTCCTACGGCCTGGGAAAGCAGTGGAGATAGTCCAAGTTCTTGGGCCCCTGCACCAACTTGGGAGATGCAGAAGCTCCTGGCTCCTGGATTTGGGTTGGCTCGGCTCCGACACTACAGCCATTTGGAGGAGTGAACCAGGGGATGGAAGATCTCTCTCTGTCTCTTTTCTCTGTAAATCTTTCAAATAAAAAAATTAAATCTTAAAAAATAAATGAACAAATAAACCACAGAGTGGATCAAACACTGCAGGTAAAATAAAATACTAGAATCCGCCATGGATGTCACATTTGATAGCTGGAGAGAGACATGACAATTCCGATAAAGTCAGATGGCAGAAACTTGGAAATTTCTGCAGGTAGACTTCGTAGTTTTCTTAGTTCACTGGTCCTCAAATTTCACTGGGCGAATACTTACTGTATATGTAAAATCACATATATTTAACCTCATGGTTGATTTCAAGCTAGTTTTTAGTAGTCATGTATCCAGATACACCGAAATAATGGCAAATTTCTGAGAAATCATTCCCAGGGAAAGCTGCCAACATCAGATCACTGCCATCCTGTGTGGCAGCAGGAGCCTGCCAGGGGCTGGAGCATGAAGTGCTCGCTAAAGAGAGAACACGTGCAGGGCACTCCTGGGAACCGGGGTGGGAGAGGACGTCTGAGCTGCCAAGGGTAGAGACAACGGCAGGCATGCTGGCCAGATCCACCCCGGGCAGCGCCTGGCTGACTGTGCGGGAAGCCTGGACTCAGCCATGTCATGGAAGTGCTGTATCACCTCACTGTGGAAGAGGGGTGGGAGAAGAGAGGAGGAGGCCTCTCAGATGCTGTTAATCCGGAGCGGAGACAAGGACTCCAGCAGTGGCAATGTCTGCATGTTGTAGCCATGCAGGCTTAGATTCCTTTACTTCACAGATGCGGTATGTTAACCTATACGAGCCAGGTTTCCTTTCATTTTCTTTCTTTATTATTTTTTTAAACATGTAATTACTTAGTTGATCTGGAAATGCGGCAAGGAAAGTGGATGGGGAGGTGGAGAGCCAAAGAGCAATTTCACCTGTTGGTTCACTCCCTGCACACCCCCAAGGCCCTTGGCGGGTGCCAGAGCAGGGAACAGGAACTGGATGGCAGGGCCCAAGGACCTGAGTCCTCCTCTGCTGCCTGCCCGGCGGAGCATCAGTAGGAAGCTGGACTCAAGGGCAGGGTGAGGACTTGAACCCAGGCAGTGTAGCAAGGGGCATGGGTCTCCCATACAGCATCTGGACTGCAGACTGAACACCGCCCCCAAGCCAAGTTCCCTCTACATACACGCAGGCATGGAGCTATGGAGGAATGACAGTGAACATTAAAATTTTCTGTATGGGGCCAGATTACTCAGGAGATACTCAAATGCTAGTTTCATTTTCTTCAAAATCAGTTACTGCTGGGCCCAGCAGCGTGGCCCAGCGGCTAAAGTCCTCGCCTTGAATGCACTGGGATCCCATATGGGCGCTGGTTCTAATCCCGGCAGCTCCACTTCTCATCCAGCTCCCTGCTTATGGCCTGGGAAAGCAGTCGAGGACGGCCCAAAGTCTTGGGACCCTGCACCCGTGTGGGAGACCCAGAGGAGGTTCCTGGTTCCCGGCTTTGGATCGGTGCAGTACCGGCCGCTGCACTCAATTGGGGAGTGAATCATCGGACGGAAGATCTTCCTCTCTGTCTCTCCTCCTCTCTGTATATGTGACTTTGTAATAAAAATAAATAAATCTTAAAAAAAAATCAGTTACTGCTGAATCTGCAAATGAGCTTATGGGTTATAAATTTAGTTCATAAAACAATTTATTCTTGCTATTTAAAAAAAGTATGTAGAAAGTGCAATTCATATTTTCCATAAGGTAATATAGTCTATAAAGTTCAATGTTTCAAGGAGAATAAGACGTGAATTTTATTGAACCCGATAATGACCTGAGATTTAGTACAAAATTCAAAATATTTATTTTGGACTTTCATGAAGTAAAAAGCCACCTTTTCTTTCACTTTTTCACAATTTTAAGAGAATTTTATTTTTCATCATGCAGTTTTGTATGTATCGGGCTTCCCCCACCCTCTTTTCTTCCCTTTCCACCCGACTGTTCCCTGTATTTTACATTAATATAGTCCTTCAGTTGCAGCCTCGACTCCAGCTTTCTGCTCTTTGTGTGTGCCATGACACAGTAGGGATAAGCTGCGGTCTAGTATTTTGTTGTTAAGGTATATTTAACAGTCTAATTGGATGCCTTCTTTTATTCAGAAGTAGAAATATATACTGCAATTATTCTTTGTTTCCTGGTACCACTTTTAAATTTGAAAAGAAACAGCATCAAAACAATTCAAGTCTATATTTGTATGAGAAGAATGAGAGCATGTCACTGATTATTTGTATAAAACTGAAGGCTTACTACAAACTAGGGCAAAGGCTTGATGGTATAAAGCACAAATCATTAAGTTAAAAAGCAAAACTGGAGGAGAGAGACATTTTAAGGGACATTTATAAATGACAAATAATGTAATATTCTGACTCAACAAACCAGTTGAGATAATTCTGTTGTTTGGAAAGCTGGATACTGTTATTTTTGGATTTTGTAACTTTGCATTTTCCACAGGCACTGATTTTATATTTCTTCTTTTCCACAGGTACTTTGCAATACAGGATAATACATGATTTTAAAGACAAGCTTTATAAAGACAAAACTGGATAAAATCAGAGAGTTACACAATCATCAGAGTACATTATTCTTTTTGGCTATTAGAATGCTCAAAATCAAATTAAAAATTTAGAAGCAGACAATAAAATTAAAACGTCCAACCAAGATGCAGGGTTTTATGTTTTTTTCTCTCCCCAGATCTTCATCTTTTGATTTTTATATTCTATGCCTTTCTGTAGTAGTTTAGCTATTTTGTGAATGAGATGGGACAGGAAAAAATATATCCAAGAAACAAGAAAGCCACACCTCAGAACTGGACTATCCTCTATTTTTTCAGTCAGGCACTGTGGCTGTAATCCCACAGCTAAAGCTTACAGAATTATTTTTAATTTATTTATTTGAAAAGCAGAGTTATATTCACACACAGTGAGAGAGAGACACAGAGAGAGAAGCAGACAGACAGACAGACACCTTCCATCTGCTGGTTGACTTCTCAAATGCCTACAGCTGCCAAGGATGGACGAAGTAGAAGCCAGAAGTTTTCTCTGGACTTCCCTGGTGGGTAGCAAGGGCCCACGCACCTGGGCCATCTTCTGCTGTTTGTCCTGGCATGTTAATAAGGTGAGAAGTGGAGCAGCTGGAATTTGAACTGGTGTTTACACAGGATACCAGTGTTACTGGTATCAGCTTAACTTATTGCACCACAACTCTGCGCCCCCAATTTTCATTATTCATTTACCTTAAATATACTCCTAAGGTAAAACATGGAAATTTACATTATAATTTTGGTTCTCAAGGACCTCTGTAGTTTGGCTCCGTCCTACCTCCCCAGCCATTTTTCTCACTATATAAAATGTATGACTCCGGTTAAGCAGAGGTTAAATATGATACAGCTTTGAGAGACGGATTCGCTAACAATCTGTCTTTTTTCAAAGTTCCATGAGGATGGGACTACAGTTCTCCTCACTGCTCTATCCTATGACCACAGCAGTTTGGGGCACTGGTTCTAACAAGAAATATTTGATGAACGAATGATCATTTGTCTCAATTATGATTATCTGCTAATGTTTTGTAATATGACAATTAGTGTGAAAACCTGGCTCAATTTCTTTGCCAGAAGTGTTGTAGGAACAGATATGCTAATTCCTAGGTTATGAAAGATAATTCAGTTTAATTTGTTTTCACTTCTCATCTCCTTTTGGGATGTAGAGACACTAACATGAACTGAAGAAGCACATCTCACCCCCAGGTCAGCCCCACAGACCTCATCTCACACCCTGTCCCTAGTGGCAGGAAGTAAGGAGGAGATAAGACAACCAAGTGGACATGAGGCAGCCCCATCACTCCCAGTGACCATTTCATGCTGCTGCCTCGGCCTTTTAGTGACTGGCTTCACCAAGTCCAGAGAAAATCATCAACCAACAAAGAACTGGTGTTGAAATGTCAGGTGGATCTGAAGAAGGCAGCAGCACCCAGGAAAAATGATAAAAAACTCACCATAGTGAGAAACAATTGGTTAAACAAACACCACAGAGCAATGGCAAAAAGACCCAACCGATAAGACAAATCAGGAAGGAGACTACTGGTGTCAACTGTAGTTCTAGTCATCTGCGTGATTGTGGCTCGTGGGACAGGTGGCATTTGAGAGTTCATCTCTGAGTCACAGCAAAACAAACAAACAAAAAAAAAAATTCTGGCTTCTCCAGAGAGACTTTTTCCCCTAATGAACAAGGTCATCGATGGTCACTCACCTGACCCCTCATCACAGACATCTGGTTTTCAAAAGTGGCTTTGTCAAATCCTCTGTCAGTCTATCAAAGAATGGAGAAAAATGATTATAATTGCAAAAAATCAAGATCTTTGAAACAATATTTGACAAGTGGAATTCTTCAACTTAGCAAATAAAGCCAGCAGGAAGTTTTCCTAATCAATAATATAATATTAAAAGGATATGTTTACCTAACATATTTTGTATACCCCACAGGATGGTAAGAATACTTTTATTTATTTATAGATCAACTTTTTCCAGAAAATATAAGGTGACTTAAGAGAACTTAATTACAACGGGTAACTAAACACATATTATAATTTATATCATGATTTTGTACAAATTCAATTTATGACGTTTTATCGTAATTTCACTTCAAAGAATAGTTACAGGAAGTGTAACTTTAAAATTTATGTTCCTGTAAAGTAAAACTGCTAATTCCTCCCTGTATGTCAGGTTCTGCTGCAAGTAGCAAAATAAGAAGTAATAAATTACATGTTAGCTCTGTTACAAACAATCTCATTTAAGATTTCACTTTCTGCAATAATCAAAGTGCTAAACGTTTACCTTGAAGAGTTCATAAAGATCTTCACACAAATCTTGTACAAAGTTCATGTCAGAAATATATGGAAGAACCAAGTTTCTTGTTTCTTCAGAAAAAGGAACTTTTGCCTGGGGAAGCCATGCCCAGTGAAATGGATCTAACAGAAACAAAGTATTCTAATCAATAGCAGGAAACAGTTCAGCTAGACACAGGTTTATCCCCCTTTCTCTCACAACTGGTAGGCTCTCTCCGCCAACAAAAGGACATGAGAGACAGTTATCAGTATTCAACTCCCTTTGTAATCTGCATCATTCAGATTACAAAAGCCAATTCACACGGTAAAGCAGAGACAGGTAGTACTAGAATCAGTATATCTCCAAGTTTTAGGTAGTCAAGAATAATAATTTCAGTAACAGGTTTGTCTCAAACAGCCTTTCCTCAAAAAATACCCAAGGAATTATTCTGTTTCCGAGTCCAGAAATATCAATGGATACCTATACTTTGCTCACATCCCCAAACTGAACAGCATGGTTGAGGTGCCCCTGCCCTTCACAGCTATCAATCAGGAACTGAGCCCCTGACATACAGCTCTTCTAAAATATTACAACAGGAAGCAGTAAGTAGGTGAACGGGTTTACAGATAAAGGAGCCACAGCTTGGGGCTAAGTCCAGGTCACCCCATAAGAACACCATGAGGAACCAGACAAATTTGAGTAAGAGCAGAATCGTCTAAATGGGGTCCCTGTTCAGCTTCCTGTAGCACAGTGTGAGACCCTCTGAGCCACTGTGGAGCTACTGTGGGTGCTCAGGAGCTATCCCCTTTTGGGCTTGCCACCATCAGAGAGCCTGGGGACACAGTCGGCTTCTCTAGTCATTCCTTCCCACACTCGTCCTCTGCTCTTGGCATGCTACTGGGAGCTGCACTGTCCATGCTCAAGAACGCCTGTCCTCTGGTTCATGGATCCTTGAAGCTGGCTTCAACTTCCTCTTGATTTGTCCCTGAACGATTTCCCAAGAGAAAAAACTTTATCCCTTGCCTGCTTCTACTTGTAATTCCTCTCCTTTAACTTCTACCACTCCCACTCTAAGACCGCCAGTCATCTCATAAGGGTCCTCTTAAAGGTCCACCTGCAGTCCTTATCCCTCACCCGACATTACACATTACCACCCAGTCATAACCAGCGTGTTTTCTGCCATCTCCTTAACGAGAATGGCTTTGAAGACACCACTCACAGTTTTCTTTCTATTGTAGGCCACCCTTTCTCTTTGTGGCTAGCTCTCCCTCTCCTCTTTCAATGTCACCGTTCCCCCAATTCTGTAATTGGACCATTCTCTTCTTCACTTATTAAGCATTCATGAAATGTTTATGGGATCTTTCTTTTTAAATATTTATTTTCATTTGAAAGGCAGCCTTAAGAGAAAGGAGAAGCAGAGAGATTTTTCACTTGCTGATGCACTTCCCAAATGGCTGTATCAACTGGAGCTGAGTAGATCCAAAGCCAGGAGCCAGGAGCTTCCTTCTGGTCTCCCACAAAGTTACAGGGTTCTAAGGATCTGGGTGACTTTCCATTGCTTTCCCAGTCCATAAGCAGGGAGTTGGACTGTAAACGTAGCAGGCAGGACTTGAATTGGCACTCACACAGGATGCTGGTACTGCAGGTCGAACCTCAGCATACTACACCACAGCACCAGCCCTATGGGGGTGGTTTTGCATTTAGCATGGTACTTGGAGATGGTGTTTGTTCTTTTTATTTCCTGGAAGCCACCACGGTGTCCGCTGTCACAAAGACCATTTAAAAACCTTGGTACCAATCAATGCCTCTCTCATGCTTCTGATTCGTTATGCCTAACTGCACATTTGGGAAAATTACCTAAAATGATTGTGGAAACTTCAAATTTTATACTTTATGAATATAATTTGTTTATGAGTTCCAAACTATTGGGAGGTAAATGAAGATGTAGAACTAATACATCAAATCAGTTCAACAAAAGAGGGGGGAAAAATAAAAAGGAACAAATTTTCACTCATGGAAAATAGAAATAAAAATTTGCTGGTAGGAAAACTTCAAATAAATCAGTTTAAACTACATAGTTAAATTCACCCAATAAAAAGATAGACTGAGTTAAAAGCTATCCAGCTAAGTATTATGTAAGTCATTTGCTTAAAACAAAATGATGGAGGTTAAAAATGAAAGCATAGAACTTTTCCATGTATCTGTTAACCAAAAGAAAGGATGAGGGGCAATGTCACGACAGACAAAACAAGCAAAGAAAAAGGACAAAGTGTATATATTTCACACTGTTTAAAAAAAGCAACCAGGAAGATAAAACTCTGGACCTTTATACATACAGGATGCAAACCAAATAATGTACAGGAATGCAAGAAGAAAATGACAAAAATTACAATCAAAGGATCTTTTAAAATTATCTCTTAGAATTAGGGCCCAGCAGTATGGCTCAACTGGCTAAATCCTCACCTTGTATGTACCAAGATCCCATATGGGGGCCGATTCACGTTCTGGTTGCTCCACTTTCCATCCAGCCAGGCCTACGAAAGCAGTAGACGACGGCCCAAAGCCTTGAGACCCTACACCTATGTGGGAAACTCGGAAGAAGCTCCTGTACTGGCTTTGGATTGGCTCAGTTCTGGCCATTGTGACCGCCTGTGGAGCGAACTAACAGTTGGAAGATCTTTCTATCTGTCCTCTCTGTAAATGTGCCTTTCCAATGGAAATAAATAAATCTTAAAAAAATAAAAATAACAGTATGTACCTAGAATACACTTCACACAGCTACAATTTAATACTGCATCTCAACTGTGAATATTGCAATTTGATAAATGTTTGTGTATAAGTTTTGACAAATCTTAATTTGTTTATTTAAGATATATTTATTTATCTGAAAGACAGAATAGACACACAAAAAGAGAGATCTTTGGTCTCCTGGTTTACTTCCCAAGTAGCTGTAATGGCTTAGAGCTGAGCCAGGCTGAAGTCAGGAGCCAGGAATTCCAACCTGGTCTCCCACACAAGTGGCAGGGACTCAAGTCCTATGCACTGCCTTACCGGATGCATTGGCAGGGGACTGGATCTGAGGTGGAACCTCCAGGACCAGAACCAACACTCCAACATGGGACAAAGGTGTCTGCGTGGAAGTTTAGCCCAATGCACCACAATGCCAGTCTCAAATTTAACTTTTTAAAGATTTCTGTATGTCTTATAGTAGTGATAGACCATAATCTACATATACTTTATGTATCTGTGACACTTTTTTGTTAAATTTTGAAATATTTATAAACTACATAGTTCATCTTTATTTTTTCTAATTGTTACAAATCTCAAATAAGTTTATATCTAAGGGGAATGCAGTTCAAATCCATGTTATACAAAGGCCAACTGTGCAAATCTCCAAGTTGGCTAACATAAGATCTTAACGAATATTATTAATAAACTGCAAAAACCAAAATTTACATATATCATATTCATAAATGACAGTGCAAATGACAAGTCAAATGACAATGATGGATAGTTAGAAAAAAAAATAGTAAGAATGGACGTAAAAAGAATCAACCAACCTAGAAACTTTAAAACCACACAAAATACATGTAAGTTATTTCTGTCAAAGAGAAAACCAGAAAATCAGAAGGTATGAATATACACAGCAGAACAATAAAGTAGCACCAATTCAATCTGTGGATTTGCCAAGATGATACCCAGGAGAAGATATTGGCCTAAAATGCATTTATAAGCAAGCAACAGAAAACACATGTGATAAAAAAAGATGAAAAAAATCAATTGAAAGGAAAAAGTAAATACACTGATCAATAAAATATATCCTGATTAATAAATTAAAAAGAATGTTCAATAAAATAAAAAGCCTGTTATCTGAAGAAAGCAAAATAAATATAGTCAGTATACAATGACAGGCAAATATTTGGTGAGCTTAACAATGAAAAATATTAAAGAATATAATTCTTAAAATTTTTAAAATTAAATTTACTACACATTTAAACTCACAAAAAATACGCAATAAGCAAATTTAATTAGTATCACATTTTTACAAAACTTCTCTCATCTATTCCCCTTTGTCCTACTTCTACAAGTATTTTAAAGTAAATTCCAGATAACATCCCAGGATACTCCCTAAACATCTGACAAGCAGAGAGGAGAAAATTTTGTTTTAATTGTAAAACATTTCTTCTATATGCCATAAATCTAAAATGAAATATTTCACAGATGACTTTAAGAAAACAAATGTCTAAGAGTGGCTCAAGGAAACCCAACCGTGAAATTCCAGCTGAGTGGGAAGGCAATTACAGTCTCTCTGACTCCAAGGGGCAAGGGTTGAGTGGCGATGGGAGATAGGCGGGGTACAGCCCAAAGCACTACTATCCTTCCAACAAGATACTGAAACAACTTCCCTCTTACATTTTTAAAACTGGAAGACTACCAAGGCAAACAAAAATCTAAAAATGAAAACCAAACAAGTATCCAGCAACACACACACCTGACCCACGCTGCGCGCGCCTTTCCATGCCAGTGTCTAGAGTGAGCCTCAGTCATTGCTTATCTTTCCATTTTTTAATTGTTATTTTGCTATCCACAAATTTTGTTCCCCTCTTACTCTAGAAAAGAGGGCATTATAGAATCTGTAGAAGGTTCTAGATACTCACATGCTCTCCATTCATCAGGATGTTTAAAAGGAAATGCTAGACCATTATCAATTGCAGCTATTTTAATAAGTGACTTTTCATCATTGGTCCAGTTTGATTCCTAAGAGGATAAAAATAATGAAATAATTTATATAAATATTTCCAAAGGCTAATTACCAAAAAAATTGAGGTGTAAGGATATACTCTTTTTGAAGAGCCCACAACAACAAAAAATAAGTTTCCATGGGGAATATAACTTGCCCAGGAGGGAAAGAGTGTTTAAAAGACAGTGGGGACAGGTAGGCGCACAACAGGTTAAGCTGCTGCCTGGGATGCCTATATCCCACACTGGAGTGCCAGGTCCTCTAGTTTGCACCCAGTTTCCTGTTAATACTGCTGGGCTAATGTAATTCCAGACAACTGGGTGGGAGACATTTGTGAAGCCAGGCTCCCGGCTTTGGCCTGGTGTGTTCTCAGGCTGTTGCAGGCATGTGTGAGGTGAAGGCTCGTGGCTTTGGCCTGGTGTGTTCTCAGGCTGTTGCAGACATGTGTGAGGCCAGGCTCGTGGCTTTGGGCTGAGTTAAGTCAGTAGACAAGCAGAAGATTCTTTCTCACTTGCTCTGTCTCTATTTTTTTTTTTTTTGCATTTCAAAAGGAATGAACATGAATAAACTAGTTTTTCTTTAAAAAAATAGAGAATTTCAGGCCTGGCGGCGTGGCCTAGTGGCTAAAGTCCTCGCCTTGAACTCCCCAGGATCCCATATGGGCGCCGATTCCAATCCCGGCAGCTCCACTTCTCATCCAGCTCCCTGCTTGTGGTCTGGGAAAGCAGTCGAGGACAGCCCAAAGCCTTGGGACTCTGCACCCGTGTGGGATACCCGGAAGAAGTTCCTGGATCCTGGCTTCAGATAGGCGCAGTACCGGCCACTGCGCTCACTTAGGGAGTGAATCATCAGACGGAAGATCTTCCTTTCTGTTTCTCCTCCTCTTTGTATATCTGACTTTGTAATACATAAATAAGTCTTTTTAAAAAATTAAAAAATTGAGAATTTTGTAGCCATGAGTTCAATAATTTGCCTTTATATATTAATAATGGTTTCATTTCCCTGTCTTTTTGGAGAAGAGGACTTAAAAACAAAAATTTTAAAAACCTAAACTCTAGATAATCAATTGCTGGATGTACTGCTTAGATGTTTGATATCTGCAAAACATTACCATTATTTAAAGGTAACAAAATGCAATTACCTTCTTGGGAATTAATCTTTCTTATGATTCCACAGAGATAACTAGGTCAAATATAAAATGGCTCTAAATCAAACACCCCTAAAGGCCATAATAAAATATAATAAAGTCCAGGTAAAGCAATCTTCAGGTATTCTTAATCACAGAATGAGGTCACTGCTAACTTCTACATTCTTTTTCAAAAATTAATTTATTTTTATTTGAAACCAGATTTTCAGAGACAGGAGAGATGTCTTGCACCTGCTAGTTCACTCCCCAGATGCTTGCACAAGCTGGAGCTGAGCAGATCTGAAGCCAGGAGTCCGGAGGCTCCTCTAGGTCTCCCACATGGGTGCAGGGTCCCAAGGACTTGGCCCATCTTCTGCTACTTTCCCAGGCCACAAGCAGGGAGCTGGAAGGAAAGTGGGGCAGCTGGATGCAAACCAGTGTCATATGAGATGTTGGGGCTTATACACAGAGGATTAACCTTTTATGTCACTGGGCCAACCCTAACTTTCACATTCTTCAGCAGAGATGAAGACTTCTAGAGAAAGCATTCCATAGTATTTGAAGATGTGGTTGTCGTGACTAAGTGGCTTAGCTGAAATATTTTTTCCTGCAGGCTCATTTCTTTGAGGGCAGAGTGGTAGAGAGAAGGGAAAGGACAGGAAGATCTGATGGCTTACTTCCCAAATGAGGATACAACAGTTGGGGCAAGGCCAGGCTGAAGCCAGGAGCCAGGAATCCCATGCAGGTCTCCTGTGTGAGTGGCAGATGCCTGAGTGCCTGCGGCAGCACCTGCTACTTCCCGGGCACATTAGCAGGGAGCCAGGTGGGCAGTGGAGTGGCAGAGTACCAAACTAGGTACTTGAATAAGGAATAGGGGCATCCCAGGCAGTTATGTCATTTGCTGCCTCACAACACCTGCTCTGCAAAGGGTGAGTTGACACTGAAGGTCCCATCATAAAGACTCATGCGATGGACGTATCAGGTTTCTTTGCTTCTTTTAGCTAACATGAAATTTGTTCACTTCAATGAAAGTGCACAAACAACTAAATGCACAAATATAACGACCATGGCCAAATCTAATTGCTCAAGATATGTTAATGAAATAAATATGACAAAACACATATTTAAATATGTATTTTATAGCCACTTCTGCTATAACTGCCATTTGTATTTATTTCTATCATTCTTTTCTATGTATTACTTTATTTGGAAATAATGTATACACAACAAAGCTCATATATTAAAGTGTAGAACTGGGTAAGTCTTCATCCAAAGGTTTCCCTGGATCCCTGGCCAGTCCATCCCCCCTTCCCCATCCCCTTCACATTTTATCTGCTTTCTATCACCAAGGACTAATTGGCATTTTCCAGAATTTTATACACATGCTATTATAAAGTATGTTTCCTTTATGTTTAGCTTAATTCACTCAGCATGGTTTTAAGAATCATCCATGTTACTGTGTGTAGCCAGCCTGTTTTTTACTATTACTACTACTGCACTATTAATATGTATTTTTAAATTCCTGATAGACAAACTTTGAAGTGATGCAACTGTTTTAAGTAATCACTTTGTAGCAGAGATTATAAGCACTGGAGAAAGTTTTTTAATCACTTAAAATGTTCTCAATTGCGTAATGCTTCAAACTTTTAAAACACTCTAAACACATCTCATGCAAATATCTAAAATTTAAGCTTAAGTACTCAAGGTTGAAAGCAAGTAATACAAATCTAAAATTCTAACAGCGTTAAGAGTTTCTGCAATCCAACATGTAACTTAAGAACAGCTTCTTGCAAGCAGTAGAAGTACTTTGTTAAAGTTTAGTGGCCAAGACTCACACGCCGAGCACACATGTTCCACTTTATTAGGTAATATAGTATGACCTAATAGTGAAACAAGAGACTCAGGAAGTAATTAAGAAAATATAAACACAGTGACTAAAAAACCCACAAGCTTTTATTATAGAAAACAAATAAATTTGGTAGTTCAGCAAATTTTCCAACCGCTAAAAAAAAAAGTACTGAGTTGGGGCTGATGCTGGTGCGTAGTTGTTGAGCTGCTGTCTGCACCCCACATAGATTGCTCTGCTTCCAACTCACTTCCCTGCTAATGTGTCTGAGGAAGCAGCAGATGGCTCAGCACTCAGTCATGTGGGAGACCCAGAAGCAGCTCGCCAGCCACTGCAGCCATGTGGGAGTGAACCAGTGACAGAAGATCTTGCTTTCTCTGTAATTCTGCCTTTCAAGTAAATACAAAAAAATTAAAAAAAAAATGTATGAGTCCTGAGTTGATATCATTCTATTACAAAACCTTTAAAAATGAGCTTAGAAGTAGTAGTACAAAACGAAATTAAGAAATGCAATGTGAACAAATAATGAGAAAATAATGAGAAAAATAAAAAGAGATTAAAGAGCAAAGGAGGAAATGGTGAAAAGTCTTACCAAGGATGACTTTACTGACATGGAATATACATTATGTATTTTGTTCCTTTTAAATGGCCTTACCTCACAGTCAGTTTTCTTTGCACATTTCTCCTTTTCATATCTGATTAACCAGTTATCATTTCCCCTGTCTTTAAAAAAAAAAAATCGGTCACTTCATTTTTATGACATTATGGCTTAAATATCAAGAAGAAAGAACCTAGCAATCTCCCAAATTTTAAAACTTCCATTGGTTCTCCACAGCATATATTTTTCCACATTAAAATTTCCAATTTAATACAAACTACCTTGCTAACATTAATTAAATGATTTCTCTTTGTCACACATTATTGAAAGCACTAACTATGTACCAATTCATTTAACATTTAGTGAGACAGGTACAATTTTTAAATCAAATCAAGGGTGATTTCTATTCCTCTTTGAGACAAAAAGCAGCTACTCATATTGCTAGGCAAATTTCCAAGTAGGCTCACTAATTTTAATTTAGGAGTATACTATTGTATACCAGGCTTTAGTATTAATATAAAACCACATTAATTAAAAGGGTAAATCTAGAAAGTTACATGACATTTTTTCAAAAGCTAATATAATGAGAAAACGTTTTTTCAATGTATTCATTTGAGAAGGGGGGAGAGAAAAAAAACCTGCTCACTTTCCATTTCTACTTGAAATGCCTTACTGGCCAGGATAGGTCAGCTTGAAACAGGAGCTGGGAACTCCATCCAGGACTCCCATGTGAGTGCCATGGCCTCCCAGGACTGGCGCCAGCAGGAAGCTGGTGTTGGGAGCTGGAAGTGGGCTTCAAACCCAGCACTCGGAACCAGAACCTTGGCAGCTACACTTAACGCCACCTTGAAAACACTGTCATCAAAAACAAGTTTTCAAACTTGCAAGTGAATCAGAAGTGTCCACAGGGCTCATTTGCAGACTTCCTACTTGGAGAGGTCTGGGTGGTGTGGGAGAAGATGGAGCTTCAGGAAGTTCTCATTATGGCTGACTCAGAGTCGGGGAGCCATCCTATGGATTATGCTCCCCACTGCTTCTTTACAACCCAGAGCAGTAATATCACATCCAAACACACTTGTGAAATAAGTTACACCACAAGTTCCAATTATTCACACACAGGGTCTTCAAAACATCCATACGCATATAATGAAAAAAACTACACACTGATTTCAAAATGGAAGCAAGGTAACTCTCTGAAGTCCCCCATTATGTTACACAGATCCCCTTTCCAGTGCCTAGTGGGGTCCCGGGGAAGAAGCTGTGCTCTGAGTGAGGGGCAGGTGCCTGCAGGACTGACTTTGCTCAGCTCCGCAGCTCTGCTGCACAAAGCAGCAAGGGACTCAAGACATTTACTTGAACCGCTTTCTTCCGGGTGACAAGGATAAAGTTCAAAAGCTCACAACATATAAGTAAACAAATGAGAGATTTTAATACCTGTGTTTCTGATGATGTAATCCAAAATAACTAATCTTTCAAATTGTGACTGAAATTGTTTTCTAATATTCTCAGGCAAAGGATCAGCTTCAAATTTCCTAAGCCAATATTCAGCCTCCTTGTAACCTTCAACAAATAACTGAAAGGAACCAATCTATAATTTTAAGAACTACAGTTAGAAAAGAGAAGCATAAAAACAGAAGGATTAATTTTTAATTTCCAAGCAGTACTGGCACGAAATATGTTATATAAACACAGTAAGAAAAACAGAAGAGTTAATGCTAATTTAGATAAGCCACCTATATCAAGAAGCTATTTTTATACATTGATTTTAAATAATCACATGAACAATATACCAAATAAGAGACATTCAACCTTAGTCTTCCAAGGAGCATACAACTATTTCAGAACAATTAAAAAAAAGAATAAATGTACACTTCAAGTCAACACTCTTAAGAAGGCCGTTTTCTAAAAATACCCATCCAAGTGAATTTAATTACGGAGGCCAAGCTCTATCCTTATCTTGGTTATTCAATAATCGTGCAGTTTTATCTCACTGCAGAAACATTTCAGGATTAATTTTAGTCAACAAACACAATGGATTCACTCACCATAAAGATGAAAGAATCTGTTATAAAATTTTAAAGAGCTAATCAGTTAGTCATAACCTGGGTAGTAATTTTTTTAATTCCCTTCCTTTACAGATTTGCCCATTTTGTAAGCATTTTTATTAGCCAAATTGCCAGTTAATATTCAACAATTACTAGAGAAGGAAAACAAATGTGAACAGCGGCTGGCTCACAGGTAACCCAGTCTGTCTCACGCTCACAGACAAGCAAATCACAGGCAGTTACATTTCTGCTGGGCCCACGAAACTTTAATTACTTTCTAAAACGTTCAAATTAAGTACTAGTAGTCCAAAGTACGGAAATGTCATACCCTCTAGTCACACTTATTCTAGCTCATCTGGAGGAGGTGTTGTAAATCCTTTCACTTCCTGCCTGCTTCTCCAAGTACAAATAAATAAAACAGTCAAATGAACCATGCAGCTTTATTATCCATTGATCTAGATGAATGTACAACATCAACAAAACAATAAATGTATGTTAAAAAAATAAATCCTACAGTTTCTCTAGAATGCCTTTCTTGATCCCTTAGCTAAGCTGCTAACCATTTTCAGGTTTTTATGCAGTTGGTAAGACAGTGACTTGCACTGCTGGAACCCTGACCACATGCCAAGCGCTTGTCATGAACCTGTTAACTTTATCCTCACAACAACCCTTTAACTGAGGCAGTGAAGAACCTGCTGCCCCGGATGTCAGAGCCAGCCAGTAGAGCGCAAGCCTGGTAGAGCCTAGCAGAGAGCTTGGAACCTAGGTTTGGCTCTGGACCAGCGCTCTCTGAGTCATTACTTTACAAATCCTCTGATGCAGTTGCTTGGGAAACGGTCCCATCAATTCAAACTCAAGTCAGTCATCCCCTTTCGGTCCTTTTACGGGTTCCTTCATTTAGCATCACATCCAACAGTTTCATTCCACAGCACTGAAACTGCTTACTAGGAACCCCTTAAAGATAAACATGGTTTCTTTACACTTATGTTCACAGCTCAGAGTACAACACCCAGCAAGCTGGCCCTCAGGCACATGTGTCCCACTGTTCCAGTAAAGTTTCTCAGAGCAACTTACCTTAGGAGGGAGCCCTATCCGATGAAACTTTCTACCCACTTTTGGCACTTTTTCTAGAGCATACTTCTTGCCTCTGGATTTTGCACGATCAATTGCGCTGTAGTTAAATGTTTCACTGACAAGCCAAACAACCTAGAAAGACACAGAAACAAGCCTAGAGTTTTCTTACTTGATTAGTTTATTCAAAACACAGAGCAACAGAGAGAGGAGAAAGGCAGAGGACAGTGGGAGAAGATGCAAGGCAAAGGTGTATGGCAACAGAGAAAGAGCGAGAGTGAGTGGAGAATGCCTGCAACTCTGACCGCCAGGGCTGGTCCAGCTTAACGCCAGCAGCCAGGAATTCCACACTGTGGAAGTGGCCTACGTACTTGGGCTATCCTCTGGTGCCTTGTCAGGCACATCAGTGGGAAGCTGCACAGGAGGCAGAGTAGCCAGACCTTGAAATGGCACTTCTTTTTTTAAGATTTATTTATTTTTATTACAAAGTCACATATACAGAGAGGAGGAGAGACAGAGAGGAAGATTTTCTGTCCATTGATTCATTCCTCAAGTGAGCACAATGGCCGGTACTGCGCCAATCCGAAGCTGAAGCCAGGAACCGGGAACCTCTTCCAGGTCTCCCACGCAGGTGCATAGTCCTAAAGCCTTGGGCTGTCCTTGACTGCTTTCCCAGGCCACAAGCAAGGAGCTGGATTGGAAGTGTAGCTGCCGGGATTAGAACCAGCGCCTAAATGGGATCCTGGCGCGTTCAAGGTGAGGATTTTAGCCGCTGGGCCACGCCACCGGGCCCGAAATGGCACTTCTATAAGGGATGTTGATATTGCAAGTGCTGGCTTAACTCACTATGCCACAACACTGTCCTCAAATGGCTAGGAATTGCATTATAGTATTTTTATTCACCATGAAATCACTCTAATGTAAATTGGCCAAGTTTATTCCTGTAATAAATGCCCAGGAAAACCTATAACAGAATGGAAGAGATTTTGCAAAGCTTGTTAACAGTGGCATACATTTCATTCTGGGAATATAAAAGTAGCCTAAAATTTTCCAGCTGAAGGAATAACATGTCTTGGAATGCAGAGCTGGAATGAGTATTTTAAAGCAGGCTTCAAGTCACAAACCCCAAAGCCCCAGGCCAGGCGAGGGCAGGCCAGGCGAGGGCAGGCCAGGCGAGGGCAGGCCAGGCGAGGGCAGGCCAGGCGAGGGCAGGCCAGGCGAGGGCAGGCCAGGCGAGGGCAGGCCAGGCGAGGGCAGGCCAGGCGAGGGCAGGCCCTGAGCACTCTGGCTACTCTACCTTCAGCAGGCTTTCTGCATCCCCCTTGTGTTAATCTTCTCTCCTTGGGCGTGTGAGTGTCGTCTGACCTCACAGGGACAAGGACACTCCCTTTGACACTTCGTGGATTTATATTAGAGTCAATCTGCCAGGCACTCATGACTCTTGCCTTGCAGGCATTCTGTTGCAGGCTCAATGTGAGGCCTTATCAGTAGGAATGACTGCCAACACAATCAGGTTGTACATTAGAAGTACACAAGTCCAAACAAATCCTCCCTTACCTTTGTTTTTGGGACAATGCCCAGGTGAAGTTTTTCATCCACAAGGTAGGCACCGGCTTCAGAAAGATATCCCTGGTTAGGAAGCAGGCAGCCTCTGCCAAAGCAGCAAGGGCAGCAGACCTTATGTACATACTTGGTCCATTTGGGGTTCAGCTGACCATATGGCTCTTCCGATTTGGGTTTAAACACACCAATAATTTTCTATACAGGGAAAAAGGTAAAATCTCATTAGACTTTTACCCTATAGACAGACAATTTATAATGTGCATTCTGAGAATTCTGGAAAACAGGGTACAATCAGATCTAAAAGTTAAAATACCTTTAGACACTCACAAGGATTCAGTTACACACAGTAGTTCTGTGAAGATCTTACCCCCTTAGGATCTGCCACAAAGTAACTTCCACTTGAACCTTGAGAGATTCTTTCAGGAAAAATTCCCAGTTCTATTGCTTGCTCTGCTTTCAATATAGTATCAGCAAATTCTGGATCATCCAAGAATGCATTCATCTCTGAGATATTAGTAGTTGCTGCATGAAGAAGACAGACCAGCTTATGAGATAAGTTACTGACAGAATATTAAAGGACACAAAATGTAATAGAGTACTGTCCAGACTGCTCTGATTCTACTGTTTATCCTTCCCGAGCCACAATGCTGTTTCTTTAAAAAAAGAAAGAAATGATGTATTTATTTCTAGAATTTTGGATTAACTTGCAATACTTTTATATTTTTATGAGTTATACTTAAATATTACCACACAGTGTAAACCAATCACAACAGGTTATTGGCTTTTCTATTTTCTTTTCTTTATGTTCCTACTTTCTCTCTCTCTCTTTTAAAGATTTATTTTATTTATTGGAAAGACAAAATTAGAAAGAGAGGGACACAGGCATTCTATCCACCGGTTCACTCTGCACATTGCTGCAGTGGGTAGGGTTGGGTTGGGCTAAAGGTAGAAGCTTCTTTTAGGTGTCTGAGGTGGTACAGGAGTCCTAGCATTGGGCCACTCTACTGCTCTCCCAAGAGCATGAGCAAGGAGCTGGATTCTAAGTTGAGCAGCCAGTATGTCCACTGGTGGCATTGTAGGCGGGTGACTGCTGAACCCCACTGGCCACAATCATGGCCCCTCCCAATTCCCTTCCAGTTTTACTGTTTCTTGAAATAATCACACTAATCTCTCCCATTTCTTAGAACTCGGCCCCGCCCCACTGATTCTATCTTCCAACCCTCTTCAGCCTAACTCCAATCACACCTCAGATCTTGTCATAATCAATTAACTTCTTCCCAGCCATACCTGAAATTTCAAATACCGCCTACCTTCTTTGTTTAGTCCTTCAGCACTCAAGTTCTGCCATCCCCAATAACCCATGAAGCACTAATGCACACTGCGACTGGTCTCTGCTTCTATACTCACTTCCCTGCCTGGCCAGCTTGAACTACGGCCAATCACTACAGGATCGCTCTTGCTCCCTCCTTTCCCCATGGTCACCTGCAAAAATCCTAGTCTTAGTTAAACCCAGCTGTCTGCACACTGTACGCCTGCACTGACTCAAGCTGAACTTGATCAAAGAAACACAACTGATTTCTCTTTGAAGTGCCAATATTACTTCTCTAATCCACTCGGCAGATGATCTAGCCTCTAAGCCAGCAATAGGAAAACACTATCTATCCCCAGGACCAGTGCCACAGCTTCCCAGCCCCTTGTCACTGAGAAACATTCCTTCCACATGACTTAGGCCACAAGTAGCTCTCACCTAAATTATTCTGTTATCACCTAAATTGCTACAAATGCCTCCTAACTGGTGTTTTTCACTGTGCCTCTCTACATTCAACAGAGATGCTACAGTAACCTGTTACAGCATTAGCTCAGACAGTTCAAGGGCTTCCCGTCTCACTCCACCCCAAGCCCTGCACTTGACTATCTCCAGCCTTCACTGTCTTTTCCTATTTAGCACTCATCACCTATACACTGTGTAATTTATTGTTTGAACTCCAAGAAGACAAGGATTTTCACTGTTGTATTCCTGGAGCTTATGTAACTCCTGCAACATAAGAACTCAATGAGTAGTTGCTGGATGGATTATCATCATTCATCTCAAGTGGCAGACAGGCCAAAAAACTTTTCACGTTTTAATTTGGAAGGCATTTCAACATTTTGCTTGATATAAAACTTATTTTAAATTGATTTAGTTTGAAATAAATAAAGCTGTCATTTACTAATTTTTTAAAGTTCAGGATGAGAAAGTTACTACAAAAAGGGCTACTGAGAATATTTAACTTACTAAAAAATGAAAGTATTTTGGTCATATACATAAAACTGGTATGCAAAAACAAAATTACCCTTGCTTATCTTTTCAACATTCCGTTTTTCCTGGTCACTTGGAAGAGGGAACAGTACTCAGCGGGCACTCAGAATACATGAACATGCCAGTAACCGTTACTACCAGCCAAATGATTTTTCTTGTACATCAAGCATTCGTGGGCTCAGAACAAAAGAATGAATCTAGACAGCTATGCTTCAACCCTGCTCCTAGGACCAGGGCAATAACCGCCAGAACACATCACTGGCAAGCGGTGTTTGGACCAATGTTCAAACCATTCAGAGAGATCGCTTCTTAAAACTGTTTCTGTTTGTATGGAAGTGGTATTTTTTTTAAAGATTTATTTTTATTATTATTTTTTTTATTGGAAAGGCAGATATACACAGAGGAGAGACAGAGAGCAAGATCTTCCGTCCGATGATTCACTCTCCAAGTGAGCGCAACAGCCGATGCTATGCCAATCCAAAGCCAGGAGCCTCTTCCGGGTCTCCCACGCGGGTGCAGGGTCCCAAAGCTTTGGGCCGTCCTGGACTGCTTTCCCGGGCCACAGGCAGGGAGCTGGAAGGGAAGCGGGGCTGCCGGGATAGAACCGGCGCCCACATGGGATCCCAGGCGTGCAAGGCAAGGACCTTAACCACTGTGCCACCGCGCTGGGCCCTGGAAGTGGCAATTTAATAAACTTCTTTTCTAGAACTAAGTCTTCAGCAGTTTCTCCCTCTGTCCTAGAATCGCTACTTAGGTAGAAATAATTGTCGATGTACTCCTTCCTGCCAAACAGTTAACACCATCTCATGTTCCCCTAGGTCTCTTCTCTTTCCTGTCTCCTTCAAATGGGAGTGTTCCCAAGTCCTCCTGTCTCAAGCCTCAGTAGTTCACTGTGCATCCTTAAAGTAGTCTCCAGAACTGAGAGCCACCGCAGGGAACAGAGACCCAGCTTCGACACTAACCCAGAACAAGAAGCCCTCTAACGCTGCACTAGCGACACACTGCTAGTTCCCATTCAGTAGCTGAGCAGATCTTTTTGGATACCAAGTCAAAAGTTTTTAGAAAAATGGAATTAAAAGGTAAGCTTATTTTGGTGGGGAAAAAAAAAAACTTTCTTGAGAAAGTTCATAGAAAATGAAAAATTATGCATGGATTTAAAAATCTTTTGCACCAAAATAATCTTTTAATTTCATTTCCCATGAAGTTTTTAAAAAGATTCATCTATTTTTATTATAAAGGCAGATTACAGAGTGAAGGAGACAGAAAGATCTTTCAGCCTCCACACCACTCCACAAATGGCTGCAACAGCCAGAGCTGAGCTGAGCCAAAGCCAGGCTCCTCTTCCGGGTCTCCCTCATGTGCATGCAGGGTTCCAAGGACTTGGGACATGCTCTGCTGCTTTCTCATGTCACAAGCAGAGAACTGGACTGGAAGAGGAGCAGCTGGGACACAAACTGCACCCATATGATTAGGGTGCTTGTGCCTAGGCTGTACGAGGGTGGCACTTGAGGGTGGAAGATTAGCCTGTGAGCCACAGTGCCAGTCCCTCCATGAAATTTTTGCAGGGCTTTTAATGTGTACAGGCCATGACATTATCATTATTAAATTTTATCTACTTGGTTTTTGAGTAACATTTTATGAGTCCATTAGGGAACCTGCTTTTGCTGCCTTCATGGAACTAACAACCATCCTGAATACTTTCCCTTAAAATTTTTTTCCCTTCTCTATTCTCTTTTCTTTCTCTTCTTCCTTCCTCCTTCCCTTTCTTTCATTTCCTTCCTGAAAGGTTCCAGTGCTATTTGTCCTTCAGGTCTCAGACCGGATGCCACCTCTGCCACTAAGTCTTTCTGGTTCCTAAACCCTCAGCTCCCTCACACCTTAGCAGCAGGTTAAAGTGTTTAACTGTCACATCCATTAGGTTAATAAATATATATGGAGATAGGGTAGGAAACCAGGCATCCATTTGATATAGTTCATATTGTTTCCTCTAGACTTTGATTTCCATTGGCAAGCAAACATTTGATCACTGACGTATAAACGGAAAACAAAGAGTAGCTGCACTTTGAGCAGTGGTTGTGGCATCACCTCCAATGTGTCACTTTCAAAATTCCAGTTACGGAGGATTGTCAAAACACAGTGAACATGTACTCTTCTAGAAACTTTCTTCTTAGTTATTCTACACTCTCAGTGTCTTCCACCTAGATCAAACCCTTGCAATGATGCCAGCATCTCATGCCAGAGGGCCACTTTCAAGTGTGGCTGCACTGTGAAGGCAGTGGAAACTGGCCAGAGTCCCTGGGTCCCTGCCACCTACTGGGAGGCCAGCACAGAGTTCCTGGTTCCTGGTTCCAGCCTAGCCTCACCCTAGCTGTTGTGGCCATTTAGCCAGTGAACCAGCAAATGGAACATTTCTCTCTCTCCATACTTTCAAATAAATAAGGCTTTATTTTATTTTATTTATTTTTAGTCACTTCTTCTAAAATGACCTTAAGGGAAGTTGCAACACGTGCACCCATGAAATTAGCCACTTTGCTTACAAATACCTTGCACGGTACACAGTCCTTGCTTCCTGGGAATATGGTTGCTGTGCTCTCATTAACTGCTCAGTGATCTTCCACCTGTGCAGCCTGCATTAGCTATCTCATACACACTTTGTGTACTCTTGTTCCAGTCTCCATCTGGTTTAGTTCACCATCCTTTCCCACTCTTATCTTTCTTCTCACTTTTAAAGGATTTTCCAACTTTGTTCATACGTTTTTGAGCCATTAGTACTTAAATAATGAAATGACACACACACTTTTCCTTTACTCTGGAGGCCATGCAAATTCTAACTGGCTGTCACACTGTCTGGGAGGACAGGTGCTCCTGTGTGTATGAACTGGGACCTCAGGGAAATTACGTCACCTCTCTGTGCTTGCCTGCTTGCTTTTTGCTTTGGAAATATCTTTTTATTTGAAAAGCAGAGTTACACAGAGAGAGACAGAGAGATCTTCCATCTGCTGCTTCACTCTCCACATGGCTCCAACAACCAGAGTTGGGCTGGTCTAAAGCTGGGAGCCGGAAGTTCTCTTGGGTCTCCCATGAGAGTATGGGCACCCAAGCACTGGGACACCCTCTGCTGCTTTCTCAAGCACATTAGCTGAGAGATGGACCGGAAGTAGAACAGTTGGGACTCTAACTGATGCCCATATGGGGTGTGGCTGTGACAGGCAGAGAATGAGCCTGCAATGCCATAGCACTAGCCTCTCTGTGCTTTCTAAAATGAAAATGCAGAAGTGTTCACTTCTCTGGGACTCACTTCACTGTATTATATTAATGAGACAGACGGTTTTCATTTAACAGATACTAAATGCGATATACACTGTGGCTATTATCATCTTCATTACTACCCAACGTACTGATTAAAGTGATCAATAGCCTAAGGAATGACATTAGTCCTTTGACTGTGGCACTGACCCAACAACTGAATGTTTCCAGACTTTGTCACATGTCTTATTAAAATAAAGATAACAGACGTATGACATTCTTTCACTGGTTAAAGTACATAGAGCTCCTGCTTACATAAACAAAACAGTTAAGCATCATCAATGAAGTTAAAATTAATCTAAAGGCAAGAATTTTTTGGAACTAGAGAATTTTTATGGTAATTGCTTGGTAAAGGACAAAGGAAATTAAGGAGCTCATTTGAAAGGCAACTAAACTTGGGGCTGACACTGTGGTGCAATGGGCTAGGGTTTTGACTGTAGTGCCAGCACCACATGGGCTGGTTCCTGTCTCCACTGCTTCATTTCTGATCCAGTTCCTTGCTTATGGCCTGGGACAGCAGGTCTCCTAACCTGGGAGACCTGGAAGAAGGTTCTGGCTCCTGACTCCTGACTTTGGATCAGCTCAGCTCTGGCTGTCATGGCCATTTGGGGAGTACACAAGCAGATGGAAGACCTTCTCTCTCTCCCCTTGTCTCTCTATAATATCTGCATTTTAACTAGCTAATAACTAAATATTTTTTTAAATCCCATGCAAAATTTTTTTATAATACTTAGGGATCTACAGCAAAATGGAAAAAAATGCAGGACATGAAAAAGGAAGAACTAGGCTCAGGCCCGCCTTTACCACTTCCTGGAGGTTTGACTTCAGGCAAACCGTCTACCGGTGAAATTCTCTGAACTGCCAGTGGTCAAGGCTTTAGTAGATTTCTCTCTTCACAAAGATGAGAGTCAGTAACAGCTGGCTGTGCTGCTGTAAGAATTAATGCTCACAAAACCAGATCTCAGCAAACTGTAACCTGTGACACTCAAGAAGCAATCCTTTCAAGTAGCAATTCTCTTTAATCCATTTGTGCTCTAATATACTGTGTCCTCACATTGTCACCTTCTGGTCTGCAGGTTATTTGTTTACAAAAGACCTCATTTTCACAGAGCACACACACTTCCCAGATTGTAGGTTATTTTAAAATCTAGTTACCCATGGCAACTTGGAGAAAAAAAAAAAAGGCAAGCTGGTGGGCAGGGATCTGAGTTACTCCAGAGCCTGCAGTCCAGGCAGCGCACATCCCAACTGCCAGTGTAGGCCTGTGTGGGAACTTGGTTCTGACTTCACAGCTGTTTAAGTACCACTCTGCTACTTGTTGGAGCAGCCATGCAACACTGCAAACTGTATGTCAGCCACACTTACTGCAGTTTAACAGCTGGATACATGAATTCCCATGGGCCTACTCTATATGTGAATGCAAATTCAACCATAATATGAATCATCTATCCAAAATTCTTTCAGTTGTAGAAGGTATATTAGTGCACTGAGGCAGGACATGTAAAATCAAACAGCTCCAGAACAACTCCGCAGTACTAATGCCAACTCCCTTTACTGTGGCTTTAAGCTGTCACGTGAGCAGTCAAATCTACCACAAGGCCGGCTAACATCGCACTTCTTCATCTCCAAATGGGGCTCCTCCAGGTCCACTCTAGTTTCACCAAACTGCCTAACTCCATTTCTCCATGAATTCTCCCGTGTTGTGGCACAGAGTGAAGCCGCATGGGAAGCCGGCAGCCCTCTGGCACCATGTCTGATCCTGATCCTACTTCCTGCTAGGGAGCCCGGGGTGCTGCAGCAGATGGTTCCTGTGCTGGGGTCTTGGAACCCACAGTGAGACCAGGCTAAAGTTCCAGGCTTGTGGCTCTGGCCTGGATCAGCCGGGGCGTGTCCACTGCATTTGTGGAGTGAGCCAGAGGATGGAAAATGCCTCTCTCTCTCTCTCTCTCTTCTTTCAAATAAATACAAATAAATGTTACCAAAAAACAAAACAAAACCCACTTCATTTCATCAACAAGTATCCATATTTGCAAATGTACCAAGCCTCCATAGCTTTCCATTTAATCTGTTCCACCTGAGGCTATACGTCTAGTGAACAATGAGAAATCTCGCCCCCCTCTTTTCAGCACAGGCTACTCAAGACACCAAAACTTTGGCCGACAGAAAGCAGGAACGGCCTCTGTGCCCTCCAGCCAACGTCACAATAATATTTAGTAGGATACTGCTACTGTAGACACCTCCTCCTGCCATCCACCTTGGCAATTCGCAGGACGTTTATGACACTCCAGAGCCCTTCTAGCCAAAAATGAACGAACAACTGACGTCACCTGCCAGTGTTAAAGTTTCCCGCCGAGTCAGATTCCCCCAAGTTCAGAATGACTTTGGGTGGAGGCCCAGGGAAGCCAAGTTTAATGACAACCCTGGGCTTTGGGTGAAGGAACCGCGGCGAGGGAACCCGGGAGCGACAGAGAGGGAGAGAGGCGAGGTGTCCCGGGCAGGCGGGCGGGCAGTGTATCCACCAGGTAGGGGCAAGCGCGCCCAGGGAGGGCGTGGACAGAGGGGCTGAGTGCAGAAGCCATGGGCTGAGCGCTGGGGCCACGGGCCGAGAGAAGGGGGCTGCTGCTCGCACCTGCACCCGAGAGGCGGCTCCGGTCCAGGTCGGTGGGTGACGTCCGCGGGACCCCCACGTCCCGGGAGGCGCAGCCGGCCGAGTCCCCGGGAAGCAGCAGCTCTTCTCCGTCGCCGGCCTCGCCCGCGTCCCCCGCGTCCCCCGCAGCCTCCAGCAGCCGCACGGCGCTGCCCGGGGCGCCTTTCCGCGGCTGGGCCCAGGCGACCCGCGGCAGGAGCGGCTCCCGCTCCTCATCCTCCTCCTCCGCCGCCAGGCTGCCGCCTTCCGCCTCACAGGCCTCCGCCATGGGCTCCCTCTGCGCCTTACACGCCGAGAACCGACCGGAGTGCCCAGGGTCCCGGATCCGGCCTCGGCATCGCGGGCAGCAGGAGCGGCTGGGTCCAGCCTACGCCACCTCACCAGCGCTCGGCTCCGGCCCGGCGGCCACACAGCGGCGCCACACCTCCAGGCTCGGCGGGCAACCCTGCGCCTGCGCACAAGGGCCGGGCGGCGCGGGGCGGGGCGGGGCTCGGCGGCGGGGCGGGGCGTGGGCGCGGCGGGGGGCGTCACCTGTCTCCCGGATCCCGGAAGCAGGAAGGTTACCTGGATCACCTCCGCAGCATGGCGGGGTCCCGAGGACCTTCTGCGCGAGTGGGGAGGGCAACGGGGTGGGCACATCTTCTCACCTTAGTAGGCCCCTCCCTTCACTACAGAATGCACAGTTTGCCACTAGCTGTACGAGCACCTAATCTATGTAACTAATTCTTCCGCTGAAGCTCAGTGAGAACAGGAACCTTGGCTTCGGGCATTCCTGAAAGCAGGTAGTTATCTTTGTTTGGCAACCCTCCTACGCCACAATGTGTTTGGACGTGTATCAGTTTAAGCAATCTTTTCCAAAGGTCATCTTTTGATTCCATTGGCTTTGCTTCCTAGTCCAAGGAGTTTTGTTCTTTATTAACTCACCTGTTGTTTGATTTCCTCTTTTTCTGATTGCTTGGAGCAGAAAATGATTGACTGTGGATACCCTTTTGTTTGCATATAAACATGTAAGGCTATGAGTTGTCCTACACATATTGCTATAGCTGGCTTTTGCCATTTTTGATATGTTACGTTTTCATTCTCACTTAATTAGAATAATTTTAACTTCCTTTGTGACGGCTTCTTTGACCTACTTTGAATTGTGTTTAATGCCCAGTTCACACGTAAGGACTTATTTTCGGGTGTTACTTAAGCCTGTGGTGGTCCAAAGAGGTCTCCAGGATTTCAGTCTTTTAAAATTCATACCTATTGGGCCTGGAGCGATGGTGTAGTGGTTGAAGTCCTCGCTCCAGCCGTTGTGGCCGCTTGGGGAATGAATCACCGGATGGAAGATCTTCGTCTCTGTCTCTCCTCTCTGTATATTCGCCTTTCCAATAAAAATAAAATAAATCTTTAAAAAAATTCATACCTGTTTATTTCAAAGTCCACAATATCACGATGAGCATCCTGTGTACACTTCAAGACAGATGTATATTTTGCCATTGAGTGCTCACATAAATATCAAGTATTGATACTGTTGCTCAAATTGCTTGTATTCTTATGAGTTTTCTTGTCCAATCCTGTTACTTACTGAGAGGAAATTATGACAGTCTTTGTAATTATGGTTAATCTGTCTTTGACTTCTGTCAGTTGAGTTTTTGCTCTGTGTATGTTGAGGTTCAGTGTGTACATAGGATTTTCACAGCTTAGGGTTCTTTAAAAATTGTTGTCCTGAATGTATCTTATCTTTGTTGATACTAACGGCTTGGAGTCTATTTTGTCTGGTGTTGATACAACCACTCTATTCTTCCAGTTGCCTAGTAAAACTTTTCCCATTCATTTTAGCCTACATGTGTTTTAGTAAAGTACATGTGACTTTCAGATAGCTTGTAGTTTATTCTCGATTTTTAAAAGAATTTATTGTGATAATGTCTGTCTTTTAATCGGAAGTTTTAGTCCATCTGCATTTAGTATGGTTGTATTTAGATACATCATTTCAAAATTTGCCTTCTATTTCTCTTTTTCCATGTTCTTTGAGGTTAATCTAATGTATCTGACTATTTCATCTGAATTTGATCGTTGGATTTGTGCTATGCTACTTTAATTTTAGTGGTCTACTAGTGTTTTCAATATGTATCTTTATATTATCTCAGTGTTCTGAGAAACCGTATGCTGCTTAACATAAACTGCAAAAATCTTGCAAAATTTTAGTTCCATTTATCCTCTTTCATGTATGCGATTGGTGTCACATAATACCATCTTTTATAAATGGCATATTTTCACATACTTTTTCAAAACCCCTTACACATAAATTCTAAATTCTTTTTGCAGTGAAATAAACTTTAGATGTGCTATGCACAGACTTTTGAAGTATCTTTATATATACATATCTTTAGACATACATACAGTCATTCTTGTTTTGATGTCTTTTAAATAAATTAGGAAAACGACTTGTAGTCTTATATTTATGAACTTTTGTTTTTTTAATTTAATTTTTAATATTGTGTACATAGTTGAGATAGATGCACACCCATGTGAGTCTTCAGTTAGAGTGGGGAGGGTTGAGGAATGGAAGAAGGTGGATAGGACAAATGCTTCATTTTTTTCCCTGTGTCTGCAGGACAGAAAGGAGAGGGGACCACCCTTTGCTGTCAGACTACATCGGCATCCAGAAATAGTTAATGGTCCTTTGATGAAGCTTTAGATACCCTGTTGTGGGGAAGAGTGTTCTCAGAGTGTTACTTGAGCAGTTTTGATAGTTCTGATGTCGTTGGCTTCTATGCACCAGAGTTGAGGAAATCTTTCCAAGGTCTGTTGGTTGACCAGGTTCACTTTAGTGCATTCACAGACCCAGGAACATGTTGTAAAGCTTGGCCAGGAGAGTGGCCAACCTATTCAGCTTTCCATCCTCGAATGAGGAATTTGACGTCCTCTGCTGGCCCAAATGAGCTGGTTGCCTCGGAGAGACAGAGTGACGGAGAGATAATCCATCCATCGGTTCACTCCCTAGATGGCCTCTGCAGCTAGGGCTTGCCTATTATGAAGCCAGGAGCCAGGGGCTTCATCTGAATCTCTACTGTGTGAGGCAGGGGGCCAATCACTTGGGCCATCTTCTACTGCTTTCCCAGGAAATTAGCAGTGGACTGGATTGGAAGTGGAGCAGGCAGGACATGAATTGGTGCCAGTCATTGCAGTCATTGGTTCAACCCACTATGCCACAATGCAGGTGTCACTTAGGTTACTTATTTTATTTAAAAAAAAAATGTTGGGGTGAGCATTTGATGCAGCAGTTAAGACATTGCTTAGTGTACTGGCACACCATCTCAGAATGCCTGAGTTGGAATCATGGCTTTGCTCCTAATTATGACTTCCTGCTAGTGTATGCCCAAAGAGGCAGCAGGTGACGGCCTTCATATTGGGCCCTTGCTAACCACATGGGAGACCTGGTTTGAGTTCTTGGCACTTGAATTTGGCCTGACCCAGCTCCACTTGTTACAGGAATTAGGAGAGGTAACCAAAGAATAGGAGGTCTCTGTCTCTCTCTGCCTTTCAGATAGGAAAAATAAATAATACATTTTAGTAATGCAGTTATGTTATTGATAAATTCTAAGTTTTTACTTATCTGAACTTATCCTTATTTCACCATCATTGTAAAATATTTTTGTGTGGAGGTGAAATTGGGCTAATTTATACTCTCATCTGTTCAAGCTCAACTGTATCAAAGTCAGTCCAATGTTCTAAAATCTTCATTATTTAAGAGACATGTCTCTCTATCCACTCACTCAGCACAAATTAAAAAAAAATTTTTTTATTTGCTTGAAAGACAGATTTTCCAACTACTAGTCATTTCCCCAAAGGTTACAACAGCTGCAGCTAGGCCAATTTGAAGCCAGTAGCCAGGAACTCCATCTGGATCTCTCAAGTGCTTGGTGGTGGTGACCCAGCAGTTGTTCACTACTTTCCTAGGCACATTAGTAGGAAGTCAGATGGAAGCAGAGCCAACTTGGACTTGAACCAGTCGTCCTGTGGGAAACTGGGGTTGCAGGTGGCAGCTTAACTTAATATGCCATGATGCTGGCCCTGACCCACCCAAACAATACTGTGTCATTTTCTCAAGCTGCCTTTAGGATTTTCTCTATCTTTTGGTTTTGATAGTTTGACTATGGTATTTTGGGTATAATTTTATACATGACCTTCCTGGATTTTCCGAGCTTCTTGAATATATGTATTTATATTTTACACAAAATTTGAGGAAATCTCAGTCATTATTTTTTCAAATATTTCCTAATTCCATTCTTTCTTTCTTCTAGTTTCCTTAAGCATATATGGTATTCTTGTTGAGATTGTCCCCAAAAGTTAATAGAGCTCAACTTACCTATTCTTTTTAAAATATCTTTTAGCTCTGTTTTCACATTGTATATTTTCTAATAATCTGTTTTAAATTCACTAAGACTAATTCACTTGCTAAGCTCTTCTAATGATTTTTTATTTACAATCCTATACTTTCTTCTTCTTTTTTTAAAGATTTATTTATTTATTGGAAAGGCAGATATACAGAGAGGAGGAGAGACAGAGAGGAAGATCTTCCGTCTGATGATTCACTCCCCAAGTGACCGCAATGGCCAATGCTATGCTGATCCGAAGCCAGGAACCAGGAACTTCCTCCAGATATTCCACACGGGTGCAGGGTCCCAAAGCTTTGGGCTGTCCTCCACTGCTTTCCCAGGCCACAAGCAGGGAGCTGGATGGGAAGTGGAGCTGCGGGGATTAGAACCGGCACCCATATGGGATCCCAGTGGATTCAAGGCGAGGACTTTAGCCACTAGGCCACGCCACCAGGCCTGATCCTATACTTTCAATCTAGGATTTTATCATTTATTTTTTGTTCTTTTTCTCCACTGATATTTTCTATGTATTAGTTCATCATGACTATACACAAATGTTTAATAATTATAAGCATAATAACCATAAGTGTATATATTTATAAGTTTTCATATATAGATATAAAACTTTCTGTCTTTGCTAATTGTTACATCTTCATCATCTTGGGGTCAGCTTCTCTTCTTTGATTTTTCTCTTGACTGTGGGCCAAACTTTCCTGTCTCTCTTAGAAATCTGTTAGTTGTTTGCTGTATTCTAAGCATTGTGGATGTTACATTGTGGAGCCACTAAATTCTGATGTCTTCCTCTAATGTAGTTAACTTGGCTGAAATGGAACACCTGAAGTTTCTGATGGTTGCTTACAGCACTTCAGCTGCTACTTTCTGCTGGGCTCCCTGTGGCTCCCACCATGTGCACACAGGTAAGGAAAAACAACCAAGGATTCTGACAGGGTCTATGTGCATTTCCTGGTGTTCTCTTTGTTATTTGTTCCTTTCCAGAATTTCTCTGCTCTAGCTCCAGCTCTTCTGAGAAACCCAACTGCATCCTTTAATTCCTGAAACTATGAAGGCTGTACCCTGGGCTCAGTGTGATGACTCAGTAGCTAAATCTTTGCATTGTACATGTCAGGATCCCATGTGAGCACTGGTTTGTGTTCTGACTGCTCCAGTTCAGTCAAGCTCCCTGATTTTGGCCTGGGAAAGTAGTAGAGGACGGCCCAAAGCCTTGGGACTCTGCACTTGCATGGGAGACCTGGAAGAAGCCAATGGCTCCTGGTTTCAGATAAGGTCAGCTCTGGCCATTGTGGCCACTTGGGGAGTGAACCAGTGGACGGAAAATCTTTGTTTCTCCTTCTCTTTTTAAATCTGCCTTCCCAATAAAAATAAATACATCCTAACTAAATAAATAAAAAGACTGTACCCTTCCAGTGGAGTTTCACCTCCCCTACATATTGGGAAGAGTCCTCAGCTGAAAAAACACATACGCATAAAAAGCACCCGTTGTACTTTCTTTGTGGAAATAACAATCATCCCTTCAATTGTTTTTGATTATTTTCCAGTATCAAAAATTAATTTCTTGAATTTCTTCAAAGTCATTTTTATCCATAATGATGGGTTAGTCTAATATACTCTCCTATGACATAACTTACTGAAAATGTATCTTTCAGTGAAATGAATATTGATATATTTTGCTGTGTGGCTCATGTATTAGGAAAGAAATATTATTTGTTGCTAGATGAGGCATGGTTCAGTATTGGATGTACTTCTAGTTTTAGTTTTATAGATGTAAACATCAAGAAAATGTGTCTGAAAATGGATGGCTATGGTAACCATTTGGAAGTGATAATGTCACTCAAATCTTTGATTGTCCTCCAAAAAAGTGCTGAGAACCGCTTAGGACTCTCTCAACAAGAGTTGCTTTTTGTACTCTTTCATTAGACACCTTACTTAGGTCCTCCATTATTTGAGTTAGTCACTTTCTCAGTTCCTAGGAGTATACCAAAATGACTTATAAAAGATTTTTCCAAGTTTTTATAAAAGTCTAACTCTTTCAATCTTAAATCATCTTGTTTTTAAACTCAAAGTTGAAAAAATGTGACGAGTTCTATGAACCTGTTGCCAATATAATATTTTTCATCTAAGCGTTTTTATCCTTCTCATGAGCTTTAATCATATTTTTGTCAAAACTTCGGAACTACACATCTGTCTCATTCAATATATGTAAAAATCTCACTTCAAAGTTAATCAGCAGAGCCAGGCTTCATTATGACATCAATCAACCAAAGCAGACTTCTCCCAGTTCTCGTGAGCACGTTGCTATGTGTCGCTGTGTCAGTATCTCTGCTTTGTGTTCTCAAGCTGTCACTTTCAGTATTTTCCGCTGATGCTTTATTTTGTTCCTATGGGCTTTTCCCTTAAGAGTTTAGTCTTTGATAATGATCAGGGTTTAAAAGAAACAAGACCTTTACATAAAACTTGTCATCACCCCCACAACTCACTTTACAATACCTATGCATCAAAATCTGTAAATAGAGATTTTCTCATATCACGTCCAGTGTCACCATCGCTTCTAAAGAATAGTTCTTTGGGGGCAGGGTCATGGCTCAATGAACTAATCCTCTACCTCCAAGTCCTGGCACCCCACATGGGTACTGGTTTGTGTTCTGGCTCCTCCTCTTCCCATCCAGCTCCCTCTTTGTGACCTGGGAAAGTAGTGGAGGATGGCCCAAGATCTTGGACCCTACACCTGTGTGGGAGATCTGGAAGAAACTTCTTGTTCCTAGCTTCTGATCGGCTCAGCTCTGACTGTTGCAGCCATTTGGGGAGTGAATCAGTGAATGGAAGATCCTTCTGTCACTCCTCTCTGTAAATCTACCTCTGCAATAAAAATTTTTAAAAAATTAAAAAGGTTTAGTCCTTTAGTAAGAAAAGGCATGAAACAGAGCTGTAATTCTATAGGGCCTTTAAGGAGTCTCTGCTAATATTTGTATTCCAAATTCAGTATTTCATGAGATCCTCGGGTTTGCTTACACCTTGGGGTAAGAAGCCATTGGAAGATTCAAATAGATAACACCAAATTGTGTCCCACCATTTCACTCCAGCATTAACCACCCAGCTTTAACGCAGGCCCTACAAGTTAAGGACTCAGTCGTCTCCAACACTGTATGCACATCGGATGCTAGCCACATTGCAGGAGTCCCTTATGACTGACTGGGAAGGGAAAGAAAATACACTTGTCAAGAGTGTTATGAATCCTAGGGCCCATGGAACTGTGTCATAAAATGATAATAATAAAAATCAAATAAAGAATAACTTTGTACTATAAAGAAAAAGGAGTTTCATACATTCTATGGTAAAAACCATCAACTTTCTTTGGTAATTTTGACATTCACTTCCTGAATATCACCAAGACAGCCTACATTGGAGGGATCCAAGATCACCCAGTGTTTCATGAGGAACACTCATAGTGCTCAGCAGTACTCTCAGATCCAAGCTATCACTTATGACAGTGAAAGGACACAAAAAAAAAAAATCAGCAAAGGGACAAACCTCATGGAGCCAAGTCTGGGGGAAGCCTAGAGTCTCTTCCCAGAGTCACAGGCCATGCTTTCCTCTCCCCACCACAAGTTGTGCCAACACATGGAGATGTTGTCTGCCCAGGAAACTCAGCAGAATCATACCCGGGGTTGTTACTGGGGCTGGCTGTGTTGGCACCTGTTTACCTTTCAGGCTCTAAAGAAAGCAAGTGTCCAGATAAGCCATGATGCTGTTTATGCCAATGGTGTAGTCGTGGTTGGTCCCTTGGGGATCCCTTTGGAAGCCTGGGGTCCCAGCTGCTGGACAAAGGCCAACCTTACAGACATGTGAACAGGTTGCAGGTCCCTTCCCATGACCCAGGCACATTCCAAAAGGCCCATTCATTGAAGGGAAAAGGACCTTATTGTTGTGAAGTGAGGAAGCAGGAGAACTAGGTCTCAAATCAGTCCCTCAGTCAATAATATACTGGGTGGGGTAAGAGAGTGGTTACACAGAAACTCCCAGAAGAGCTTGTAGGAAGGCCAGCATGGTAAGATGGCCTTATAATTCTTGATTTTTCATGTCTGAGGGACTCTTCTGAATGGGTCCACTGTACCCAAGTCCCAGTGTGTTTGTGGGCCGGCTAGCTTTAACTTTTGCCAGTGCCTAGGTTGTACGGCATGAAATTCTCAGCTCTGATTCCCTCTGTGCGTACACAGTTGTATCCTAAAACATGCAGGGACTAAGTCATGTGATCAGACCCATTGTTAAAACACAAAATAGGGGAACTTTCAGAACAGTGTGCAAGCATAGCAGGATCTTTTTGTGTGTGAAGCACCAGGGAGTAACTTGTGAACTTTCTTCCACCATGCTAGGGAAGACGACCAGGTTGATGGTGGAGGTGAAACTAGAAAGTGGGGAAGAGGAAGGGTAAGGTCAGGATTCACCGAAATTGGGATTAAATGGAGATTTACTTTAATTTAAAGTAGATCTTACAATGCAGGGCATAGATTAGGGTTGAATTAGGATTGGTGAAAACAGTAAAAAGAAGCATTTTTGAGACAAGATGCTCAGATTTTTAGAACTAAAACTGTCTTCTGATGCTTTCTGTTGAAAATCTGTCAAGTCATTCGTGAAGTTCCTACTACAAACATCAAATTAGTTTGGGTAAGGGTCTGCTCCTGAGACACTGGAATGATGAAGTTAATTAATAAGGGCATTAGATACAAGAACACAGGCTGTTTTTTGTTTCATTTTTATGTGTTTTTAAAAATAGTGAATATTCAAATCAAAGTACATACTCTGCTATGGAAAATTGAAGTTAATTTATTATCTCACATTTCAGAGACACGTGACACAATTAATGGGATTTACTTTTCCCAGAGATTTTATCTCTAGTCTCCCATGATTGTAGAATAGGAATGACTTCTGGAATGAAGGGTTTTGGGGAGAGAAGAGGCCGGGCAACAACAGCATCCTACATCTGGAGAGAAATGATTTGCAGAGAAAAACTCTTTGCTCCTATTGCCGCTGTCTCTACACTAAACTGGAAAGGTCTGTATTCTCATCTGTGTCTTACAGATACAGATGCTGAGCTTCAGAGAATCAGGTTACTGCTAGGCTTGTGCCCCACCACTGACAAGCAGAAGATTCAAGATTACAATTCAAGTTTACTGGTTTCCAGAACCCAAGATCCATTGGTTGAAAAAGACTCTTGTGTTAACTTGGACCAATCAGGATTTATTCTCAGAGTTGGGAATATGAGTTAGCTGAAAGAGAGCTGGGCATTTTCAGAAAACTATAATTCTGTAAGAAGTGAGGGAGGAAGATATTGTACAAACTATGGAAGGTGTCAGCCTGGGCTTCTGTCACTATTTATTGTCTGTGAAGCAACCAGAGTGATCTTCCAACCTGCTTTTCTAGCAATGTACCTCGTCTGGGTGGCTCCCAATGCTACACAGACTGAAATCTTTGAGACTACAAGGCTCCGTAGACTCTGCACCTTGCCCTCCTCGTCCATTGTAAACCAGTCCTTCTAGTGTTTTCTTTATCTTAAAGGCTTATGCTGATTGTTGGAGATCAGCTGCCACAGTTCTCCAAAGAAACAGAACCAAAAGAATATTTTCAGGCATTGGTCCCTGTGATTATAGGAACTCTACTGGCAAGTTCAAAATCTGCAGGGCAAGCCTGCAGGCTGCAGACTCAGCCAGGAGTTGGTGCTGCAACCTCGAGGGAGGCAGAACTTCTTCCCTGAGAAGTCCCAGTTACTGCTCTTTGTGTCTCTCAACTGATTACATGAGGCCCACTTATCCTATAAAGGGTACAGTCCTTAATTTAAAGATAGATGACAGTAGATGTTAACCACACCCATAAGATGTATACAGCAACATCAGGATTAGTGTTTGGTTTGAGAACTGGCTGCTCTAGTCTAACCAAACTTGATAGAGCAGAAACCTGCTGAGGAACTGTGCCTCTCTGCCCCTATCCATACC